CGGCCCAGGAGCCTAGCGCTTGGCACACGTCACTCCCCACCCAGACTCGCTGAATAAAGGCCCCAGTGCTCTCCCTAATGTTATTTTCCCCTGGATATCTTTTTTGATCAACAATTTCCTTTCATGGGTTTGTTTTTCAGATGCAGGGTATGCACTTTTTCTCTCCCCAATTTGGCTAGGGAGAATTTTATAATTTAGTAATTAAAATCTTTGTTAGGCTTTAGAAATTGCAGCTAATTGAATTTAATGGGAAGATGAATTTCAATTTTATTTGATTAGCAGGACCCCTGGCATAGGTATTTATGGAAAAAACTCTACAAAAATATGCTGTGTGGGCTAAGATGGCATAATAGAATTACAGATAATCAGATTTCACTGTCATGAATTTCACTCTAATTTCACTCTAATTTTCCATTAGATAGCTGGTTTACAAATATTTGCTCATCTGCGATGGGAAAGGCTATCTGTCTAAAATGATTACGGAGCCAGCCTTCAGAAATATGTCCCTTTTTTCCCCTCCCTTTTAAAAACCAGATTGCGAGGGATCAAAATTAGGAAGATTGCATTATGGATGTCTGCATCCGGGAGAGCAATGGGGGAGATATGATGATTACGACCGGGGGATGAAAGCAGTGTCAAGAAAAATGTATGACTCAAAAACATAGGCCTGTTCTATCTACCAAATCTCTGCTCTCAGCACACTGCCGCCAAGCAACATGCAATATCATAACTCATGTAATATCACAAATGGTGCACAAATATAAAAAAGACAATGCAGCATGTTGACATACAAATATACCTTCTACCTCATACAAACTCCATGTTAATTGCGTTCAAGTGTGAACCTATAATGAGATTTTGCCCTGTGGTTTTCAAAGTGTATGTATGTGGCTGTATGCACAGCTATACAGCAATTATGAAAATCAAATGAGATTCTGAAGAATCATTGTCATGAGTAATGCAAATGAGGATCATCAAGAAGTTGTGCGTTGCTATTGTCGATGTTCTGGCTGTATTTGTGTGTAAGTTTAATATTCACCTCCTTCTCTGCTTAAAAATAAATATATAATGCAATATAAACAGACGTGACAGGGAATAATATCCCACATCACAGACAACCTCGAATAACACAAGGGTGAACTCTTGTTGAATCCCACTTTAAAAGCCCCTGCTTCAGAATTAAGCTTTTACACGTTCAATTTCCTGCCAATTTGACAACAACATGACAGTGAATATCAGGAATCAACTTGATCTATCATCGGCCAGAAAACACAAACTGTTTTAATTTGTTGTGTTGAAAGTTAGATACAAAGGAAGTGCTGCAAGAACACTCCTCCTGTGTAAAACCCCACCTGTAGTCTCCACCAGGACAGACCTCCACCCCACGCCACCTCCCACCCACTCCTTGCACCCACTCCTGACTCGCTCAGTCACTCTTTGCCCCGAACTGCCAGAGACGGCAAGAGGGGTTCAAAAACACAATCTGACTCTCGGCAAAGGTCAGAATTCTCACTCGGCATGTCTCTGGGCTTTGGGCACAAAAGCCACTGAATTCACATCTATCAAGCGGGCTCTGGCTTTTGTCCTGGGGAATGGAGGACTCGGAGTGGGCCCTTCACCAGACCAGCCCCTCCTGGAGCGCACTGTCAGGGGCAGCCAAACGTCTGGCCTGGCGGCCCTTTGACTGATGTACCCCATGCACTACAGCGTGCACACACACACTCACATGCATACACACTCCACCTTGCCCTCAACATTCTCCCGCATGCACCATACAATACCCTCAGACCACATCAAACGAAAAACCCCACAGCTCCTTTTGAAAAGTAATGGTTTCGCCCCCAAGATGGCAGCTCAAGGGCCAGAGGGCTGAAATGCAGGGACTGCTAACCTCCCCTCCTGTGGGCATCAAAAGAACTCACCCTGCAGACTGAATCATCCATAATATCATGTTTAGGGCTTCTATAGTCATTTTTATTTTTATGCCCCATCTATGTGCAACAAAGCGTCACAGTGAAGACAGACTTCTGTGTGAAACTGAAAAGCTGCAAATGCAAGTTTTAAGAGTTCATTCAACATGAAATCAATGTTTTTATCCATATAAATTCTTATTGCAAAAAGAGCTTAGGGTGCCACTAGTTTTCAAAATTTTGAAAACTACATTTGTTTGTTTTTTAATTGCATCATAATTCAAATTTATTCAATTTGCACAATAAGTGGAATAATGCATGGTGAACCTGTAGCTGTGTGACATGGTCTAGTCTTTAAGAATATTAAAATGAAAGATGGACAAACAACCTTTTATGAGACAATGTCTTCTGCAAACTGGTTTTGGTCACAAGGAAGGCAATGTGGGTAAATCATGAACCCTATTGTAAATGAACAATGACATGCAAAGCAATTGCTCGCAGTGAGAATTCAACTGATTGTTTTACGTAAATATCACGATAATCATGAGGTGAAAATCTGACATCTCAATACCTTGACAACCCTAGTATGATGCTGGATCAGTTTTAACTTGACTATGTTTTTACACTGGTGAATGACGATGCACACCAATAGACTAAATAAAATATGGATGTAGTCCTGGCCTTTAGCCTCCTTGCTAACAGCGACGGTGTGCATACCTGTCAATCAACTCAGCTGCACCTCATATCATGCAGAACTTATAACGTGATGTTCTTCTCAATCATTGTGTTGGAAAAAGGTAATAATAAAAAGATCAACCCTGTACAGTAGCCCTGTCCCAATCTAGGGTCTTAATGGTCTGCTTAGACTGACTAGGCTGAACTCAACTGAGATGGCCTACCCTTCAGGAGATTGTGTGCTTACATCACTCCGACAGTGGCATGGTGTGGCCCACCTCCTGTCTCCTAGCAATAAGTGGAAAAAAAGGCTAACTAGCTAGCCCCCTCAGTACTTTTCTGTGACTCAAGGTAGTCTAGTATTAACATGTTCAATTTTACTGAGCCTATCAACTATACGTTACAGGATGATGTAGCTCGTACACCACTGAAGGGTGTTTTTAGTTCTTGGTTCAGATTCCTTCAATCAGTAAAAAATGTTTTACTTAATTTTTAAAAAATTACAGCAGTGTAGTCCTTAGCTTTACGAAATTGTCTTGCTGTATATAAAGTTTTAGAAATCTATAATTCAATGCAAAGATGTTATAAATAAAAGGAGGGTATAAAGTACAAAAGCAGTAATTTCACGAAATATGTTAAATTCTACTGAGGTGTCATGTGCATGGAGCCTGGAAAAAAAAAAAAAAAGCCAGGGTAAAAACAAAGTTGATTATGACTTTTGTGACTGCGGTTATCTCTGATTGTGGTTGAAGATTTTGATGAGCCAGCTCACACATAACACCTGGATATGACAAACTTGCTTTGTGGTGCACAGGTCTCAGTTATTCACACAGCATGATGTGCTTTAGTATGATGACGGATCAAAGGTGGAACCTTGCAATAAAAAGTCACTTAAGGACAAATTTCTCACGTGGCTTCGGAAGTAAAACCCGCTGCATTAATTGCATTTATCAGCCACCACAAATTCAGTATTAACCAAAACCTGTTTTATGAACTGAACAACCTTTAAACCCAGCGCACAGCATGAAGGAACTGAAGCCAGGATTACGTATTATTGAACAGCTGTGTTTAAGTTCTCAGCCATAAAGTAATTCATTTCCTCTTTCCTGTAGTCAAGATGTGCACCACCTTTTTTTCAAACATATTTAAACAACTAAGTGTTGCAGAAAACAGAATTGTCCAATGCCTTCTGGAAGTTTTCACTCTTTCTTGTATTGTGTATTTACAAATTTCACATTTTTGTTACAGAGCCATGTTTACAGTGTGTATGCATTATGTACAAATGGTCCAGAGAGACACTTTGCATACCACTGCGGAAGAAACTGCCAGGCAAATAAGGGGTTTGTCTTATAAAGTATTCATTGTCACCTGGTAACGGCTGCCGTTTATCATTTCACCTGAAATTACAATGAAAACTGATAGCTTATCACAGGCAGGGTAGGAGAAGAGTGAGCTGTAAGACAGAGAAGCACAAAAGTAGACAGGACTAAAAAAGAGAGGGGTCCTTTTAGCGAGAGAAGAAGTGAGAGTGTTATTTGCTCAAAGCTTACATGCTTGAGTCATATTTTCATCAAATAATGTAAAAACACTCAAGAGCACAAACATTTATAGTATATACAAAATATAAAATTTTGACTTTAAAATTTATAAAAATTTTCTCTCATTTAGTGATAATGTTGACTTAAAGCATTTGTAGTTGAACTGTACAGCGAGGAGATATTGATATTCATAAAGCAGCTTTGTGGTAGTCACACTTAATTTAGTTTAAGTAATCCATTAAAAAGCTTCAAATACTTGTGTGCACTAAAAGTGCCATAAATTAAAAGGAAGATTTAATTTCTACCTTCCAAAAACCTCTTTTTAAAGTGTTGCACTTCTCTCATTTGAATAGAGGCAGTGGAGGCTCCACCCCAAGAGAGTTGAAAGGCTAGAGGACCACAAAGATGGAAAAGGCCAGCCCACTGAGGGAGGGAGAAAAAAACTGCTCCGGTTCCTCTGCCATAATTTCCTATCAGCCTATTCAGACAACATCACCAACAGCTTGGTCTGTGTGTGTGTATGTGTATGGGGGCAAAGCAGAGAGTGAGAGACAGAGAGGCAGCGCACGAGAGGCAGAGAAAACGACAAGGGGAGAGAGAGAGAGAGAGAGAAAGAGAGAGCAGAGAAGGGGGAGGCTCCGTATTCTTTCACCTACCCCCCGTCAAACCACAGGAAGGAGGGGCCAGACCCTAAGCTGCCAATCAAATCCGCTCGTGGCAGCCGGCATTATCTCAGCAACAAACTATTGACAGATTACATGTCAAGGAGTTTAGTGCATGATTGAAGGAAGCCTTTTTTATCTAGTTACTTTTCCGCTTTATTTCCCCCTCCACCAACCAACATTCGAATGACTTTCTAACAGAGTTGAGTAATATTATGAAAGTTACATGTCTGAGAGGATTTAACTACGACTTCCCTGAATATGGTGAGTACTCTTCTTCTTTTGTATCTCTGGTAGATATGTTTTATTAGCTGACAGTTTAAGGTGTGTCTTTATCTCTGACTAAATATACTGAGAGGGGAAGTTCATGATTAAACTATGTGCCAGTCCGTACGTATACCCAAGTGTTGCGACACCCTTATTTATAGCTCTTTGACATGCCCAAAGGTGACTGCAATATCAAATATTATTGCCTGTTTCTACAGCTTACAGCTCAAGACGCCGTGTAACATGCAGTACACATGTTCAGAAAGTTCATACAGCCAGTTTCATTTTCTGTTGTCAGAGTGTATTTCTCTTCTAGGGCATGAGACGACAACTTCTTCTTCTCAGCCTTTTATTTCTCTTCATCTGTGTGTTTTTCTGCTTGTTCAGTCCCTCCATCTAATTACATGTTTTTGATTCAGCCAGCCTTTACAACTGTAGAAATACAGGTATTGGGCTTACCCAGAGAGGCACTGGCAATGCCATTAGGGTACACTGAATGGCCTAAGGGTTTGTTGCCAAGGGGACAAAGCAAACAAACTGTTGTGTTGCTTTTGTTGTCACACATGTAAAGGGAACAGGAGTAGTACTAACACCTTTCCAGGTACTTATAATTAATGTGTAAATACACGGTGCCTCGCTGTGTGTTACATAAAAATGTTACCATTCTTATTCATCAGACGAGTCACATGTTTGCTAAACTTATTAGTTTGTATATTTTTAAATGATAAAATTAAGTGATTGTTCCCGTTAAAACAGCTTTGTAGAGTCCACACACCTGTGACTTTTTAAAATCGCAACAGATCTATAACTGTCAGGTTGACTACAGTCTTTCTGTGCGTACTTCTGGGAAAGCAAACTTGTCCTGTTATAACTGGCTTACACCTCATACTCATGAGTGTCACTCTCATCCACGCTTTAACTGAAAGAAAGGTTTTGTGTGTGTTTAAAAATAAGTCGACTTCATGTTCATGTTTAGTTCTTTCTGTTTTTGGCTGTACTATAGGCGCGTGTGCTCTCTGTTTGCATGCACTCAGTATTGTCCTCCTTCATACGTGTGTGTGTGTGTGTGTGTGTGTGTGTATTAATAGTCAGTCTGTATTTTGTTATTTGCACTGTACATACATTTAAGTCCTCAGTACTAAACTTGAACTTTTTATAAACATTATGCATTTTTTTAAAAACTTTAATAGTCTGCTTCATCTCATATCTATATGTCTTATTTTAATCACTTAGTATATTAATATCCAGAAAAATGTTGAGGGGATGTGCTTTTAATAGACTGTTACTTTAAAAAAATTGCTATGTGAGAGTTAAAAATAAGAAAAAAACATGTTATGAAAAATATTATTATGCAGATTAATTTTATTTGTATGTTCTGTCTTTTTAGAAAGAAAAAAAGGATCTGTAATTTAAACTTCATTCTGGCTGGTTTTGCTCCAGGCTATTTCAGCTACACCAGTATGCAACTTCTGTGCCTCCTCTGTGTCTTTTTTAGACTCCACAGTAATTTTCCTAATATCCCTGCTCACCATTAAGGACATTTGTAGGTTTTTAAGCTTTTTAGTTTCTACATATTATTAAATAATTTAGAACAAAATAAAATAAAAAAAGATTCCGTTACATTTTTAATCAAACTCAAAGGGAATGTATAGTAGACCACTATAACCACACTGTTTCACAAACACATGAGAGAAGCACAGGAGGGCTCAGCTATGATGTCTGGTTATTTAAGGTGTCCTGTACTATAGTTTAAAATAACAACAAACACGCACAAGTGTAATCGTGACACACCCTAATTTCAAACTTTTCGTCAGCTCGGAAAATGTTTTTCTACCCTCCTATGAGTCATAATGTTGATTACCTTCTCCCTCACTGAGTTGTCTCATTAACCCTTTGTGGCCCTCTCCATCTTTTACGGCCTTCCACAAAAACCAGGATGAAACGAGGGAGAAAAACAAGCCCAGTTCTGAAGGCCCTCAATAACCTTTTATCACAATTTAGCAATAACCTGAATCAATTTGATGTCTTAAGCAATAAAATATGCTGTTGCACTCCTATTTCTGCTGCTCCTCGGATGACAGTAAATTTACATTTTTTAATTAAACTAGCTGGAATTTTTATTAGGGGGCTGGGCTATGCTAATGGGAATGTTGTGTACAGCAGATTAACAGAGTTTTGAAATAAATTTAACAGGGAGACATTTGGAGGAAAAAAAATGCGAGTCATTGTCTTTAACCTCTTTCATGCCGATTTCTCCTGGGGGATCTGTGTATTCTAAGGAGCCTTGTCAGGGAAGAGTGCTTCTCAGCAACGAGGTGATTAGTATCGCCTTGTCAACCGAGGAAAAACACCTCCATTCTCAAGATTTATTTTTTAACACCTTTTTTAGAAAATAAAAAAACATTTTTCTTATTGCTGATATTTGCAGTTTAAAACAGAAAAAAAATTAATTAACTCTTTTGAAATGCATAAAAATTATGTGCTTCAATAAAACATTTTTGAAACGTTAAAATCAGAATTCTTCTAAATTTTATTTTAGGAGTAAAAACCCTTTTTTGGTGATTCTTCAATTTAACTTTCCCGTCAAAACTAACACTTTATAAATGTCGTTGGTTTTACACCTAAAACTGAGAAGAACTACTGAAGAAGAAGAAGTGTCAAATACAGTAGTTAATAGGAACGTATATGTTTGTGTAGTTTTATGGTCCGCTCTCAGCATTTGATTGATGTTACACAAGGCTGTGTGTTATGCCTGGTTTAAGCAGAGTGGCAGGGGAGAGAAAGGGGGAACATAGACAGCAGACAAGAGGAGGGTGTTGTGTGTGTGTGTGTGCGTGCGTGCTAGTGTATGTGTAAGAGTGTGTGTGTGTGTGTGCGTGTGTTTGTGTGTGTCGGGGGGGTAGACAGAAAGAGAGGGACAGCTGAGTCCTGATTGAGCATGTGCCCAGTCATCAGACACAAGCCACCCAACACCGTAATTACCTTAACCCCTGTCTTTTAATACCCAAATCACACCAACTGGCCTTTTTTCCCCGGTAGAAAGAGGAAACATTAGAGATCAAACGATCAAATAAACTCCAGATGCACGTGGGCTGCCATGCATCTTGCCGCAGTAGCCAAAGTGTTCAGGGCTACTTGATATGGGCCAGGAGCAAGGCAAGTGGCATCACCACCCCCTTTCTTCAATCCTGTGCACTCATGCAGTGGCCAGCACCTAATTAAAACCTCAAAGCTCCCCGTCACCAATCTGGAGTAATGGCCTAATTAATACTCGGTGAAGAAATATTCCGGAATGATAAACAGGTTGCACCTTGGGTCTTCATTGCCTTTATCATCTTAAATATAACGGGCTAAGTTTTATTATCACAGATAATGCATGTTTGTTAAACTGCTCTCTGCTAAAATGAAGGGAAATTGAAATGGTAAAATTATCTTTTTAATTATACTATCTAAAAAGGATGGCAGTTAATTATAAGTTATATCATTATATCAAGACATTTTTTATCATGTATTATTTTCTTTAAAAAAAAAAAAAAAAAAAGGACAGTCTTTTCCCTTCATATTTCTTACTCACATTTTTCAGTCTTACAAGCCGAAAAGAAATCTCGCTGCTGAATTTGCCGTGTCATGTATTCCTATAAGCAGAGTCAAGAGAGAAGCTTCCGGTGACTTTTTTTTTTCTAGACTCAATTTCCTAATCTTTTATATGAAATTATAATTTCATGCAAAGTAAGGAGGCAGAACAATCTGAAGTCGCTGATATGCAGTATAAGAGGGGAAAAGGGGAAAATGAAGAGGTAATTAGCAGAGTGGAAGACTTTGCGCGTTTGTCTGAAAGCATGGTCTCCGCTGGCCATGAATGAATTTGCATGCTTCGCTTATCGAAACACACTTATTAGACCAGCTGAAAGAGAGATTAAGCTGACACAAAATGTGGTGACTAATCCTTTTAAATGTGGCAGGGGGTCTTTAAGGTGTGAATCAGCCCATCCGTAGGTTTGTGAGCACGGTGCGTGACACTACAACTTTCATACTTCCAACTTTATGTGTATCAAAGCAGCCGATGTAGGGTTAACTATATGAAGAAAGGACAGTGATTGACATGGGTAATAAACTGATAGTTTATCTCCTGACCCTCTTATCTGTCGAACAAATACAGCAGGAGGGGTCAGGTCAGGTTGATACTATGATAGAGGCACGTTGTGTGGTCCAACATCACTAACTTTCCTGTATTTTATCAAAATTGTCACTTTGTTAATTTAATCCTAAAAGCAGCATAAAAACTTCAAAGATAAGCAGAGAAGGTGTTGTAAAATCTGACTTCTCACTTAGCTACTAAGCGAAACGCATTACAGTTTGATTTCGCTTTCACCTTGTCTTTGACAGGAATTCAGCCCCTGCTGTACTTTCTTGTATTTTTGACAGAATGAAAGGAAAAACAAACAAACAGCCAGCCCGGTTTTTAAATCACCTTCACTGTAAGTGAGAAAATGTTTGCTCTGTGGAGTTACAGAGCCAATACCCCTGTCCTCCTCTGTAATTGACTGCAAACAGCAACGTAGTGACGTTTAAACACTGCCCTCCTCTCTCTGCTGTGTCACACACATACACACACACAGACTCACATACACATCTTGCACACAGTCCCCCACCCGGCACCCCTCAACTTCAGGTTCCCCTTCTGCCGTGTGTTTTTTCATGTGACATTCTATTCACTTGGGTCAGTAGCAGGCAGCAGCGGCAATAATTACTGTCTGTACATGATAAATCTGAAGCCCAGCTGTTCATTTCTGTCACTGCCGATAGAGACAGAAAAAGAGGGAGAAAGATAGAGCTGAGCAGGGGGAGGGAGGGAGAGAGAGAGGGGGAAGAGCTCAGGAGTTTGCAGTTTGCCGGGTTTCTTTCCTTTTTTTTTCACTTGGTAACTTGATAGGATTACATGGTTCTAGAGCCCACACCTGTTAAGAGGCTGTTAGCAGAACAGTTGGCAGTCCCATAGCCACAGCTTCGCCTTTTTCTTCTCTCACTGCTGTCCTTTCTCTACCCTCTTTTTGTGATTTCACCCCACATGTATGACAAGAGTTTATGTCTCTGGGCTCGTGTGTGAAGGTGGGGACACGTGAGCTGTTTTGTGTTTGATGTTATAGCGCATACCCCACACTTCTCTCTGTGCGCCTGTGTGTGTGCGCGCGCGCGCGTGTATATGTGTGTGAAAGAGAGAGAGGCCAGGTCGCCTGACATCTCTTTTTCCCTCCCTCTCCTGAGACACGTTGTCTGCCATCAGTCGTGCTTCCCTCTACGACCTCAGTCACTCTGGAGCCGCCCCCGGAACAACGTATATACAAGTAACACGGCAGCAAACAAAGAAAGAATTCAATTTAGTTTGTTTTTCACTTGGGTGGGGGACAGGTGTTGGCAGAGTTGTAAAATGCCCAAATACAGGTTAAACCAGACGATTTAAATGATTAAGGGTTAGGTTGAGAACGTTTGTGCATATTTTAGGAGTGCCAAAGCCCTGCTGTCAAATTAGAAATACTTTAGAAAGGAGTGGAGAAATGAGTAATGCGTCAAATTTGTAGCTTGTTTTCTCTTGTTCTGCTTTATAAAAATATAAAAAAGCCTTGAATATTTTTTTTAACACAGGAGCATATTTTTTTGGGTACAGTTTGTGGGGAAATCAGTGACACTCAGACGTAGAAAACCGCACTACAGTGGCTTGTTTTGTGCCTTGGTGCAGCGTGTCTCACTGCCTTATTTGGCATTCAGCAGCAACCCAGCTCTTAGGCTTCGTCACTTTCTGTGGGCCCTCAGCACCTGTTCCCTCTATTGTGTTGGAATTTTCTATATTTGGCAAGAAGTTCTCCTCTCTCAATTGGTGTGCAGGTCGATGTTTTTTTATAGTTTGAGAAAGATTAACTTTAATTCCTCCAATGTCATTTTTCTTACTCATCTGCCGTTATGTGCAATGTGATTCAACTTGAGAGGTCTATGCCACATTTCTCACCAGAGCATCTAAGTGTCATGTTGTCCCTTGCATGTTATTGACACGTTGCATTGCAAGGAGTTCAAATAATCCTGGGTGTAAGGCACAAGAGAAATAAAAAAGAGCAAAGTTAATAGATATCTCAAGCTAACTTTTAATTGTTCTGATATGTAATCGCTAAATGACAATAAAAAAGGGAGCAGAGCCACTTTAAAAGCTTTATCTCTCCTGCTCTGTGCCCAAAGTGTCATGTCCATAACAGCACCAGCTGATCTACAGAGTAAAATAACTGCTAAGGCTTATTGTTTGGACAATATTGGAGGCCCCCCCTCGCACCCCACCCCCTTCCTCCCCCCGCTGCTTCTCTCCCCTCTCCCTTGATTCATTTCACCCACTGTCCTCGGCTGCTGGAAAATGGCGTTAATTTTTTTATTACCTGTTTGACTCTCCAGCCTTATTACTGTAGCCCCTTAATGTTCTCTGTAACCGTGGAAACCAGATGAATAAATGTCCGCCAAAGAAAATGAGATGATTAAACAGGTCACCCTTGCAAAACAAATTCGCTTGGTCGAGCGCAATTTGTGTACCAAGCGGCTGTCTTAACAGTTTGCTAACAAGGGGATTGTTTGCCAGACTAACTGACAGAGAAGGGAGGGGGAAATGAAGATATCTGGGGAAAAGGATATGATTGAAGAGATAATATTTTAGATCTCTATGCTATTTGTCTCATCCTTTTTTTCCCCATGATAATGCTGCATTTGTGTTTGATTGAAAACTCCCATTTTGCTTATTTTTTTAATCATAATTAGAGCAGAAAGGAGCACTTTCTCCTTTTTACCGTGCATCAAACCGGCATTTGACAAGTAACATTTAAGTTTAAAGCAGCCATCCGTATTATTGTCAGAGGCATTTGGTTTGTGATCATCAAATGTGCAGTAGCAAATAGAATTTCCCTCATTTATGTGGCAACCAATCATTACTGCTAATTGTCCTTGAGGCCATCTGTATAGGAAGCCTCGTCCTCTGTTGGTGTTGAAACCGTACTGGTCATGGATTTACTGGTCCGATAATAATATTTAACTCCTCCAACCTCTATAGTCAGCACAAAACACTTCATGTTCACAACTGCAGTAATAAATAAGAAGAAGGAGGTTTCCTATCTCAAATTAAACAGTAGCTTCAACACCATCTTGGTTTCAAAGTGTCACTGAGTTACTTTCCCATGATTCCCCTGCCTTTCTTTCCACTAAGTGTGATGTTCTCATATGACTTGTTTTAAGGGAAGCTCTCTGACAACCATATGAACCGTCTGGTGTTTTCATCTGGGAAAATAAGAGACTTGGCGGGGCAGATTTAGCCATGTAACGATAGGGCAAACATGCAGACTTGGATTGGAATCAGAACTGTGTTGCCATTCTGACCACAAATCATAAATGTCGGGGACACGGCGGTGGTGTTGTTTATGGAGGGATGCCACGCTGCGCCACTCAAGGGTGTTGCCTGTTTGCATTGATGCACCACCACTACTTATTGCCTCTTGCTTTAAAACAACTTCCGCATCCCACTCAGCCCAGCCATTTTGTCCTGTTACCAAAGCAGATCCCAAATATTCACCGCAGCTTCAGCCTCAACTTTAAGCGAGGGGGGTTGTTGTTCAAAGCAGGGCTGCGGCTTCTTTAAGTCGCTTGTGGGACAGAAGATGGCGAGAAGAGTTTTTCCACTGGCAGACGGGTTATTTCATCCCAATACAGGGACACTACAGCTCAAAACTGAAAAGCACTTATGCATTATTGATGTTTTAATTTGTGCAAATGCCCAAGTCTTTGTTAAGTGATTATAGTGCTGGGGAGATAACAGAGGAGGTACTTCTCTATGAAACAAGAGCTTGCTTGCTGGCCGCTCTGGGAAGCCATTGGACTAAATCTAACAAGTCGGCGCTTCTACTCAGCTTCATGCAAGAGGGAGGGGGGGGGGGGGGGTGGACGGGAGTGAAGAGTTGACTCAAAAATATCAACGTGTCCAAGATAAGGGAAAATTCAGCCGTTGATCTTTTGTCCTTATTTCAGCTACACCTCTCCCGTTTATGATGTTAGGTTTATAGTTCTTTTACATCCCTTATCAAAAATTATTTGATGTAAATACAATGGATATGACCTGAAAAGCCCCATGTGTAAATACTCCTCGTGGTGTACTAGAAACTGACCTTGGGAGAAGAATGCAAAGTTATAACGCTTGCAAAACAAGCCAATAAAATAATACTGGGTTGAAAGGGGGAGTTTGGGTAAATACAAAAGGGGGTGGAAGAGAAGCTTATTTTCCCTGCAATGATTAACTCAGAACGAAGGTGATCAAGGTTGATATTTTTTTTAAACTGTAATTTATGCGATTGCCTGCTTTAGCAACCTGACACTGATAAGCACTGTTGGTAGGAAAGGTTGAAGTATTCCTCATAAAAAACAAAGTGGTTTGTATATTCAGACTAGGAGCTGAGCTGAGAAGATTTTCTTTCGTATCCTAGTTGATCCGATCTCCAACTTCATCTCAGATCATTGTCACTGGTGCGTAGAAAGCCGTGTTTCCTCCATTGTGCTGTTTGGTGTCTGGGATGGTTGTTCAAACTCGGCCTCATCTGCGCTGCTTCCACACCTGCAGCTGTTCACACAGTCCCCTTCCTCCTCCACCTAACGCATGTATAACCTGTGAATTATGCTCTATTCTCCCAGCTCAGGCTGTATTAATACAGACTCTATCAATGTCAGCCCATGAGATAAGTGTCTTAGTTTTGGCTTTGGTTGCAGTATAACTCATTCTCTTTTGTTCACTGGCTTTATTCTCACTTTATTCTTTGGGAAAATCTGCTTGAGTGTGGAACCAGGCTTTGCCTTCTTCTTTGAGGTCCCTGATGGAGGTAAAACGCAAGAGCATGTGTGTGCTCATACACACGTGCCTGCACACACACATACACACTTAAACACTCACACAGTAGGCTCTCAGGCTTCCCCAAGCATTTACTGCTTTATTAAGCTGTCTCATGAACCCACTAGCAGAACATGAGAATACAGGAAAAAAAGAAAAGCCCATATTACTTAGATGATTTGATGTCATTTGTGGACTACAAAACACTAGGCTTTATTGTGTGCACAGGGAGAAAGAGCACGCGCAGGGAAAAAAAAGAAGTTGGCTTAGAAATTCAGAATTTCAATTAGCGTACGTAATCTGAACCTGCCGGCTTTGATAGAGGCTTTTTTTTCACTAAGAATACAGCAGCACTTGTAAAACATTAATTAAGCAGACTTGTTTTTTTAAAAGGATGGAGTAAAGTGTTCTTTATGCAGTCCTTTTTCACCGAACAAAAGGCAGTTACCTCACAGAGAGGACCGCTTCACCCAAACCGTTTGGTAAAAAAGAACCATTTAAATAGGAGAAACGCAAAAAAAAAAAAAAAAAGACACACTATTGAGTGTTATGTTCTAAAGGAGATGATATCATATGAGCGCTCAGCCTTTTGCTGAAGAATAGAAATGTATCCTAGCCTCAGTGAAACCTAAGCTTGGTGTAGGAAAACGAGCCCCTATTTTAATGACTTTCTACCTGACAGATGACTTAAGACAGCCTTTTGGATCAAATTGCTCTGACTTTGTCTCTTACATCATCAAAGCATTGATAATTAATAGTTTATATGAATTGTTAATTAATGAGTAATAGGAGTTATAATGGCAAAATCCTCTTAGATATTAAGTCCATTGTGATGGTTTGTGGTGAAAGCATAATATATGTGTTACTGCTGCAAGGGAGAGCTTCAATTTTCCTGAGATGTCTGTAAGTTATTTGGTTGGTTTAGCTTCATGATACTGCCAGCTCACTGCACTGCATTACAGCTCATTCACTTGCTTTATTCTTATTTTTCATGAAGACATCAAGATAAAAAACAATACACTTTTATCCCCAGTGGATCATTTACAGAGGCATATAATGGCTAAGATATGAACACGTATGTTAAAGGTGATTTTTTTCCACTTGTCATTGCACAGTAGAGTTTTCCATTTTTGAATATAGAATAAAAGAGAACTGAAAAGAAGAGCCCCTGTTCTACATTTGCACATGCTTTTGTATATTAATTTTCCACACACTATTGTAAATCCTGTTGCGGTGGGTGATGAGTACACATACAGATGATACATTAAAACTGCCATAACTCGCACACCCAGCAAAGCTAAAAATCAATTGGAATGGATAGTTAAGCTGGCCCCTAAAAATCAATGAGCAATTCATGTCCTTGATCACAGAGTGTCATTCCTCTCAATGTTAGAGGCTGATGAGGGCTGAATATACACACACATATACTCCCATTCAGCACAAATGCACAGGAAAACTTGCAGGCACTGATACTATAGGTTAAGAGTAAATGAAACTCCAGGGCAAGGACAAATTTTAATGGTCTTGTATTTTTAACAACTTCCCTTTAAAAGATGATAACTTATATACCCCAGTGAACACAGTTTTCAGAACTAAATGACATTATAGAAGATTTCCTTTGAAACATATTGACACAGTGTCAAGGGGAGGCAGAGTATTTTGTCAGGGCCAGCTGGTAAATACAACATTGTGGTCAGTTCATCAAAAATAGCAGGGAGTCAAATTTCAAAGCTCATGTGGTTGTTTTTAAACCATGCAAAATGTTGCAATCCAACGACATTGTACACCAAGCCTGGAAAATAGAGATGACCTTACAGCCATTACATAGTGGGGGCACAAACACTCTTTTTACACACACACACACACACACACACACACACACACACACACACACACACACACGTTTATTTACACCATGGGTTTAAATGTAGGAAGAGGAGAGAGAGGCAATAGCAAAATGAAAGGGATGAAAATTCTGTGTTTCAAAATAGCAATTTTGCCCTTATTAATGCCATTAGTGTAACAGTCATAATAGATCAAATCATCAGATGACCGAAGCAACTCCTCTGTCTCTGCGCTATGACGGGATCATGTCGGAAACAATTTGGGCATTTTGTGTTGATGAGTGAAGTTTCAAGTGCTGTAGTATCCTGCAAACTGCCCCTAAATCATGTCATAGTTCCTGTCTTTTTCTATTTCTGTCTTTAACTCCATCTTTTTTTCCCCTCTCCTTCTCTATTTTGCTTTTTGTACACAACTAATGAGACACTTTTATGACTTTTGGACATCATTTTCTTTTGCCAACGTCTTTCTTTATCAGCAGAAATGACCCTTTTGTTAGGAACTGCTGTATTTTTAACCTAGATTTAGATAATGGCACTGTGACAGTCATATTTTGCTCCTGGGCTTTTCTTCTTTGAGGCCGTTTGTGTCACTCACACTTTGTCTCATTCATTATTGCCAATTATAGCCACACTGACCAATTCAGAGTAATGCCAACCCAGGAATTATGTCTGTGCTGTGACATATTTCAGGTTCAAATCCTAACGTCTCTTCATGGAGTCTTAACTACAAACTGTGTTCTCCTTATTTGTCCACAGAGTCTCTGACATACTGGTTTCAAGTTAGCAGTTGCTTTGCCGTAACAGGTGGTCATCTTTTATGGTCTGTTACTCTGGTAACATTTGAAAGGGTCATTCAGCACACCAGCTAAATACCTCAGATTTGGGGAGAGGAGAGGGCCTTCAGAACAGTTGTCGCCTGTCAGGAGGAGCAGAGAGTCATAAGGAACAGTCAAACACTTGCTCGTCCCCTCGTCGAGGTGAGAATTTTCCAGCAGCTGTCACTCGGCCTTTTTACCTCGCGTGTTTTTGGAGGGTTGTTTTTTTCTCCTCTTTTCCAATAAAGCAGAAATGAATGTTTGTGGCAACTGGAAAGGGGGAGGGGGAACTTCAGCACTGTGCCCTGTCACTCACAATCTCACCCGTGTGTGTCCTCCTCTAGAACGGTTACATGTCTCATCAGCCGCCAATCATTAGGAGAACGTGAGACAAGCTGAATTTCAGGGACTTTCTTCTTGTTATTCAACGGCTCAAAAGGAGCTGCTGGTTTTATTTTAGCGTCTTGAGTCATGAAACTCTTTCTGTTTGGCCGTGTACAGTAGCTATGAAATGATGTGTTGCCTCTGCTCTGCTCCCTCTCCCAGACTTCTCTCCACCATCCTCTTTTCCTTTCCCTGTCTCCCTTACTCCCCCTTTCTCCCCCCTCAATCCATCTGCATCATGTCGATCTGTCAGACTGCCAGTGTCTGTTCCAATTAGATTCCACTTAATACACGTAACCTCGATTAACACGCAATCAAGCCCAGATAAATCACGTCCTTTAAGTCCCCCCCTCTGCCTCTCCTGTGTTGCTTTGCATCACTCAGTTTTTCCCAACAAGCTTTCCTCAACACAGTCGTTGGTCTCAATGTATAAAATTATAAGCTGACTGCACGGGCAGGTAAACGTTGAAAACACCCTCAGAGGTGACATTTTACCGCACAGACAGGTGCTTTTCACCTCGAACCGAATGCACGGTCTTACTTTGTGTCTCACTGCTATTCTGAGTAAAGTGAATCTCCTCTTGCGTTTCCTGCAGACTCTTGTTGGTGCCCTTCTCACCCCTGAAGATGAAGGTGTCTTAATTACATCTTTGGTTAAAAAGCTACAAAAGACACCCTGGGCTTTCTCTACATTGCACAAGGCTGTGTAGTCTATTGTCTCGGTGACCTTTTTAGCTAGCGGACAATTGGTTTGACTAGATTACAAATTAAGACACAGCACCAAGCACTTAAAAAGCAAGTCTGTTAGAGAGCAGTTCTATTACTACCAGCCTGTGAAAGCCACTGGTCCATACGTTTTCAACATCACATAAATGGCCACAAAGTCAGGTATCACGTGCACATTGTTCCCTATCTATAAAATATAAAGTTACATTTACTTTAATGGTATCTGCAACACCATTGTGCCTCTTTGCCAGTGGCAGAAAGGGAAAAAAACACAAAGCCTCCACAGAGCCCAGGATTCAGGGCCGATTATAATTCTTTTAACAAAGTTAATAATTTACACTGTTTATGCTAATAAGGGATAAGAGGACTGTTGAATTACCAAACAGCAGAAAACACTAAAAATACAAACCAAATGAAAACAACCCGGGGCACTGAAAAAGCACACACAGCACTCTCGGGGTCTTCTTTTATTAATCGCAGCTAAAAGTGCTAACATTGACATGTTGAACAGATTAGCCTCTTTAATAACGGGGCGGGTCAACATGGCTACCACTGCTGATCCATGAGGATATCCTGTTGGGAGGCGGAAAGCCTGTGTGTTTCATATCCTGACCCCTGCCTCTAAGGGGCTAGCCTCTGTGCTAAAGATACACTGAATCTGGCCTGTGCATGCACTAATAGAGGATTAGACACCTTTTTTTCTTCTATCGCATGATTTGTCTCAGATTCAAAAAGGTTTCGCAGTTTTCATTTTCTATTTGATTGTGCTATCTGGATGTTTTGAAGCCACCGTGTTTCCATAAATGAAACCTGTGACAGTTAGAGATCTGGCTTTGTTTCATGCAGCGACAGCCTGTGTCATACACGCTCAGGCTGCCGCTGTACAGCATTAATGGTTTTAAATATCTCAATGCTAGTTGGAGCTGACAAGGCCTGCCGGTGTGCAGTGTGTAAATAGGGCTTGGATTTAAAATAAATTAAGCCATGAGAAAGGCTCACGTTGATCCATTTCTTATCTCCTTTGCTGCCTTGTCAGCCTGAAGCCCTTCTAAATTGTGTGGACAAGATGAGGGACAGGCAAGGCTCATTCACAGTTTTTAGTATGTTAGGATAGCCTGGTACTTCCTAATGAAGAAAGTATGGAGAGTGTATACGTGAAACTACAGCAGGCTTTGTACGTTTCAACTCCCTTGAAACTGTTGATCTCTGTAAAACCAATTTAAAAGTTGTGCGTGTTTTATTTAATTAGTATTGGGTGCAAACAAAATGAGTATTGAATAGACACCCGATAGCCCTCTGCCCTGTCTTTTTCCATTTATAAACTCCATCCAGCACCACAACAATGTCGCACTGTCTCTTTAAAAGGGGTGACAGTTTTGACTATAAGTTGAGCTAATTTTTTTCTCTTTCCCAGAGAAAAAAAAGGGAGTAACACTGATGAGTTTTAACAGCTTCAGCCAGGCGATGGGCAAATATAATAAGTGTTTTCGTAGACGTCACCAATGATTATCTCATCTGGGCATTTTGGGTGAATGTGGTGGATTTAGAGGCTCGTCTCCCATTGTGCTGACATCACCCTTTAACAAACCAAATTAAATCATGGTTAAAATCATCTGAATCTCTCCCAGAGTCTGTCTCAAATGGCTAAACAATGAAAGTCTGGGAACATTTTTAAGAGAGGGCTGTGAGCGTTTGGCTGTGCATGCTTATGTGTGGATTTTAGTGTGTTTAGTCGGGGGGAAGGGAGGGGGATATAGTGTGGAAATGGGGGCAAATTAACCCTCACACTGAATAATTGGATAAAGAAAGCTAATATTTAACACATTCTTCAGAGAATTGAAAGGACAACACTTTCACACAGTGATCTGTATTTTAAGTTAGAATGCATTTATTTGTCTGTGGATAATTTTTTTCAATAAAATAAAATAAAAATAAAAATCTCTCTGGCGTCAGCACATAAAGTTCTCCGTAAGGCAATTCTCAGAAGAAAGTCCAGCCTCAGTTTGTCTTGATATAGCTGTCCTTTTATAGATTGAAATTCAGATAAAAGGACAGGAGTGTCCAGTTTCTACAGCCAGACAATGTAGGCTGGAATATTTGTTTTGATACTGATGCCACTATGACACACTACAGGCAAGAAAAGACAAAATGACACCTGTATATTTCATAAACATAGGGGTGTCATACACACCAATCTCTCCAAGTAAAAGTAGTCATTAAAATGGCTTCTTGGAGGTTTATTATAGCAAAAGAGAAAACTTTAATTTATCATATGCCCAAAGTGCAGCTTGGAATACAAAGTTGCACAACAGGTGACCAAGTTGCAGCTGAGTGTTGTTTTCAGGATTTGTTTATTTTTGATCGCAGTGTCACTTGTTTTGCATGTTCAATAAAAAGTCTACCGGCGCGGCTGGGACACAGGGATTCATCAGTTGTCCCGTCTCACTACTCGCGTGCCGCAGTCGGCCACCCATGACCTTGTGAAATGAACAAGGGGGTAAGGAAGAGAGGGAGAGAGAAAGAGGGAGTGAGGAGTTGGTAAAGGAGTAGTGGCAAAGTGTGGAGGTGAATGGAGGTGGTGGTTGGGGAGGGGGGTAGCTGCTAAAGGCCTCAATTCAGCCAACGTGGCCTGATGTGACAGGATTAGCTAAGCCCCGGTGAGCATGGCTGGTACTGTGAGCCTGTGTGTGTGTGTGTGTGAGAGAGAGAGTGTGTGTGTGTGTGTTGCAGGCAGGCAGTGTGCACAGCAGACTGGGAGCCCCGTACTTCTGCTTGCCACCAGCCGAGCCAAGACAAGACATGAGAGATCAACAGTGTGTCGGCCCATCGCTGCCATCAAGCCTTAGCCCTCATCAGCCTCCCCCTCTAACAAAGAGCCAGACCATAGAAGATACAGCCAAGGGAGTCAAGATACAGTGGGGGGGAGACACAGTGGGGGACAAGTGGGCGGGCAGCTGGGGCTAAAGTGAACGTGAGTTGGAAAATGATCCTATTAAATTGAATTAAAGAGGCAGTCTTCATTTACCCCAAGAATGATGGATTTGGATAATTAACAGTGTTAATGGGGACTGGTTAAAGAGGGCAAAGGAAACCAGTGATTGCAGACATGCAGTAAAGGGGCCAGGTCTGACCTGTGTGGTATCAAGCTGGTAGTACATGAGGGATGACTCCTTACACCAAGTGAGGCTAATTTCTTTGAGATTACTTTACAAGTATTTCCAGACCCACACCCGGAAACGTCGCGAATGCTCTAAAACTCTTTCCATTTTAAGGTGCTCTTTTCTTTCCCACATCTACACCTTTATAAAAGTGCAGCTACTTCAAGATGACAACAGTTTGAAGGAGGCTGTGTGCTGGGCCCTGCGTGGGACTAGAGGAAAAAGTTAAAGAGGGTGTCGCTGATGTATATGTAGGTTCAGAGCTGGTATATTTTGCGGTAGAGTGCTGCAACAGTGAGTGTATTATGCCAGTTTAATGCCCTCATCTTGAGACCTAATTATGGCACTACCAGTGTGTGCAGAGTGTATGTGTGTGCACATGCAGTGGTGTGCTTTGTGTGCCTGGGTTTTCACTTTGGTCAATGCACAAACCCTATCTGCATGTCCTTAATTCTTGATGATGTGGAGGCCTAAGGCAGTGTGTGTGATGGAGAGGATGTCTGTGTGCCAAGTTGAAGTGATCAGGCAGCAGGGCACAGATCCTCACCCCCCTGAAAAATTTCTTTGCTTTGCACACAGCAGCCGATCAGCGGTAGTGTGTCGCTAGTTTCAACAGACTAGACGGGACTAGTGACACCCTTCCACAAAGGAGCCAGATTTACACTTGCACTGTGTGTCAGAGTAATCTGCAGCGCGTCTGTTGGTTTGGAAATAATGGCTTATCCTGAGAAAGGACTAGTTAGCTTCATTGACACGATCTGCTTTGCTTATTCAGTTCATTCCTTATGCAGCTTTTATTATCTGAAGCATTGTTTATGGACAAGCAGTTTTTGTGTGGATGTAATCAATTTGGACAGTTGTAGATGCACACTTAAGTCTTCATTACCTTGGATGATGTGCACCACAGCTTACCTGAAACCCTGATTAGTAGGAGAATGTCTCAAGTAAAGAGGATCACATAATTTTATGCTACTTTTCTCCTTTCAAAAAAATTAACACCACAGTCCCACGCATGTGTGTAAGCGAGAGAGTGATAGAGTGTGTGAAAAAAAACAATCTCATCAAGCAGGAGGCCGTTTGCTTAGCAAGAGCTGACAGTCTTTGTGTATGTAAATGAAGAATTTAGACTAATGGAGTTGAACCATTTCTAATTTTGTGATGGCAAGAGGATTTTGATTGAAAGTAATTAAGCAAGCTAGCTGTAAAATTAATTAAAGCAAAAGGAGGGGGGGACTTTTATTGGATTGGATAGCGATATAGCTGCTGTCAGGCAGGGGGACAAATGGGGGTGACCTGGATTCTCTGCCCTCCCTCCTCCCACTCGGGACTTTTATGTCACTTTAATCTCCTTAGAGCGGCTGGTGTGCATTTGTTCGAAATAATCAAGGAAATATGGTCAGAAATTGTCAGCTTTCAGATCTAATTTACCTGACAGCCTTGCAAGTGTGTGTGTGCACACGCAAGAATGCATGTGACAGTGGCAGGTCCCTTTTTTTTCCGTGCCCTCTCCTCAGCTTTGTGGAAAATGCTTTTGACAGTCTTGAAGCATCTTGGTTGTTGGTGGGAGGGGGTGATGAGGAACTTGGGTGGCTTTAAGATGGACATTTCAATGAGGCATGCTTGGCCCGGCTTAGCACCTCTGACACCGTTGTGTGCGTGCACAAACACAAACATGTTGAATTGCCACTGTAACATATTCAGACCCCGTTTGGCTACCAGACCAGCACTTCTCAGCTTCTGTTGTCTGAAGGTAGCCTAAACAAGCAGAAGCAGATTACAGCCATGGCAAAGCCTGTTACAGCTACTTAACCACTGACAAATAAGATTGGCCAATCCTGCACAAATAGAAATGGAACTTATTGTCCTTTAAATTTGGAAACATATTAACATATAAATCCTTTTCAAAGTAAGTACTGACCTCCGAATGTTTTCCTAGGGTGTTTTAAACTTATTGTCTGTAGTACTGTTAAAAATATCAACCACCTGTACAATTTGTGCTTAGCTAATAACTAGCCATAAAATAACCTTACTAATGTCCTGCGACGTCTATATAGCTTGGAGCTGTATGAGGTCCATATTAAATGTCCACGGGGTTTCCAGCCCTTCCACAGTGGATGAGATGCCACTTCCTCTTAAAGCTTTTCATCGCTTTCTGGCATTTGTGACATAGGGTCTCGGTGTGGCCCTCAGTACCCCCTGAAGAGACAGTTAATTAAGGCCTGGGCCCAGACAATGCTGCCGGGACTCTCACCCACCACACCATCATCTGCCCCTGCCGCCACCAGTCCCCCCTCTGCAGCCGCTGGGGCCTCTGGGAAAGCAGAGCACCACCGTCGGGGCCCCTAACGGGATTAGGAGTCCTCTGAAAATAGGACCTCAGCTCCGTAAGCCTCTCTCCCACCTTCATCTGCCCATAGGATCCCACTTGATTCACCCACAGCCCTATCCCTTCTTACTCCCCCTCTTTTAAGACGGCTCCACCCGAGCTCCGTTTTATCAATTAATGTAATAAAAGGTGGAACAAAGAGCTTTCTTTCCCCCGCTCTGTAATTAGAGGGGGAGATCTCCTGAGGACTGGCATTCCTTGGGCCCGAAAAAACATGATTCTCACTCCCCCTCTACTCTGCCTCCACCACTCAAGCGGAACATGGCTCCTCGATGTATAAGAGTGATAATGTAAATGTAGTGTATCCTGCCAGGCAAAGCCAGCACAACCTATTTTGCAGTAGCTTTATCTGAGTGTGAACAAATGAATGTAACATTTGGAAGAGTGATACATTATTAACTCTAATTGATTCCTTTATAACACTATACATTTACTGTCACCTTCGCTTTAGCTCGCACAAGTACATGTGCTCTAAATCACTCTTGTCGCTGTCCCTATTCTAACACGTTACGTGTCACCACACACTGTTAACAAATGTGATAAAACCACCTGAATCGAGAATATCAGGTATGGCGTCTGCTTGTGCGTGTTTTTGTCTGTAAAGGTGAGATACAGTACACTTTAATGTGTGTATGTGTGCATGTGTGTCATTCTCTCTTTCCCCCCCTCTTGTGCTTAACCGTCTACATGGGTGTGAAAGTTAAAGGGAGACAGAGCACCCGCTTTCACAGCCACTGGAGCTTTCGATAGGAATTAGTTTTACAACATATGCAAATGTACCCCCTTGAAAAAAAAGGAGGTCTTTAACTGACAGGTTGATATGTGATTAAACGACAATTAGAGTGCTGAAAATAAGTGTCGGCAGTAGGTCAAGCACTGGGCGGCTCAGCTAAAAGGTAGCAGACTATCGAGGAGAAAACATTCCCAGGCGGAGGCCAGAAACAAGACCCAAAACAAATTAGAGAGGTGAAGGGGGAGCAAGGTTGGGGCTGTGTTTAAATAAACCCACAACATAAAACAAGTTCTATGTTTTGCCTAGATTACACAAGATAAACATAAGAAGAGAGGGGTTCTGTTTTCAGTAAACCAGTGCCGAACACAAGTGCAATAATTCCTGCCACAGGCACAGATTGCATGGAAACAATACCGAAACTTAAAGGGACTCCACCATGCGACACTGATGCCCTGTTTGCACTGATTGTAACCTTTAGTGCCCCCACCCAGATTAAAACTGGTGGTTTGTCCCACTGTAGGCTGCACCCCTCTCTATTCTGTGCCCTTTAAACTAAAAGTACAGAGACATGAGAGATTCGGTGTCTTTCTCTCTCACTCGTTACTCTCTAACAAACACATACCGGCTCACCCACACACATACACACTCGACACAAACATACAGGCAGCGACATAAAAGGGCTCACGCTTATTCTGGCAACAGATGGCCCTGTCCCTATAATCCCCTTTGATGCTGCGGTGGGCAGTGGCTCCTGAACATCTCTGAAGCCAAAGCCCCAACAAAACTTGAGCTACTTTTCCTTTAACTGACCCCAATTGCCAAGGAGCTGTCAGCTGTCAGACCTGGTTAAGAGCGTCTTTACTGGGGGAGACTGAAGGGCACAGGTTTCTCTCTCTCTTTCTCTCTCTCTTTCTCTTAGTCGCGCTCTCTCTTCCTTTAGCTTCCTGTTTGTTTTCTGTCACAGACAGTTCATTCCACCTTCATGACACGGCTGTGAAAGCACGGTGACCGTGCTCCCCTGACTCTCAGTATAGACAGCACTTATTTCTCTCACAGGAGGTAAAGAGTGAACCTTTCTGATAACAGGAGGTGGGCTAAGAGGTTTAGAGTTCATCATAGAGATTGTCTTTTTAAAGCTTGTTTCACTTATATGTACATATATATACATGGGAATAAAATCAAAAGCGTGTAATTTATCACAAATTTTCTTGGAAAAACTTATTTCACTGAGCAGGAAGTACATTCTTCACCCTCTTTTATTAGCTAAAGCCTTTTTGTCTCACGTTGCTTCAGTTTAGCAAGCTTTCCTGTCAATGCTGAGGAAATAAAGCTGCTATCTCTAAATAAAGTGGTTCAGTCTCTGATAAGATAAAATCCCCATGATAGTAATGAGCCCCCTAATGGAGTTTTAAAAATAATTTAACAAGTACCCTTAACCCCACTTTCACAGTGTTAATAAAAAAAAGGCTACGGTGTAAATCCTAACTCTTCTATTAAAGCAGGTGTTTCACTTTTATTAAATCGACCAGTTTCCCTTTATTTCTCTAGTTAGTGATTGAAGCATAGCCTTGTGCTTAACACCCCTTATAAAATCACCGATCACTAAATGCCCATACCTCTTTTAGTGACGTTGTTCTGTAAATAGAATCAAATGTGAACTTGTGTCTTGACCTTTGAATTGAATGATTTTCCTGTCTTGACTCAGACAGCAGTGTTTTTAGGCCTCCAACTTCAGAACAGTAGTTAAATGTCTCCTTGAGTGCAGAGGTGACTGATTACTGAACTGTCTTGTCACATTTTGGAAACACCTAATTTTAAGAGAAGGAACTCTAAATCAGGACCTACTTCCTGTGTGATTTCTTATATTCTAAGTGGGGTATTCTCTTCTGTTCAAATCTATATTATCATTCGAGAGCTTTGAGGGATAATCATCAGTAAGATTTGCTCATCTTTCCAGCAGGTCTGCTGAGATGCATGTACGTAGCTAATGGGATTGGGCTTTTTTTTATATCCTCTCCTGTGGCGTTATGGAGCTTGCAGCTGAACTTGAACGGATGCGCATGGTGCTGAGTCGTGCACAGGACTATTTCAAGACTGAAATGCGATTGTTTTAATACTTTAATCCACCTGTCCTTGGCATCCAGGATGTTGCAGAAGTCGCCTAATTATTTCAGTGCCCTCTATCCTTCCTGGTTGAAATACAGCAGAGACAGCTTTTTTGAAAATAAATCAGTCCAGAAATTTCTTCTTTCAGTAGCTTTTTAGAAGTAAAAAAGCAGTAAAAACTTTATTTTGATAAAATAAATAGACTACTACCTCTTATTCTTACTTATGAAATATCTAGCAAAATTGAAAAATTAAAAATGCATGTATGCAAAGACAATCCAATATACCAACAGTCATTTTAAAGAGCGAGCCATTAAACAACTAGAATTCTCTGAATTGTCCCAGGTTCTAACTGAGATAGTATGCAAACACAAATATTTTCTTTTAATTAAAAAGGCCTCATCCCGCAGTATCCTCCCCCAAGCCTGCTGCCGGCTCTCAAGCCCCCCCGTCACCCTCCCTTCCACCTCAACGCACACACACACATACATACATATACACACACTTGTACTTTATTAAAATGTACCCGCACTCACAGTGACATAGATCCGGTCAAATTTGAGAAAAGTGATTATTTTAATTCCGTCCTGGGCCATAGATTCCTCTTGACTAGCTGCTAATCTGTCAGAGCCTGGTTGTCAATTGAGAACCAGGGACACCAGCAGGGACGGCTGCCCAGTTCACTGATAGCCCCCTGAGGGACAGTTAACCCTCAAACACCCCCCACCCCTGGAAAAAAAAAAAAAAAAAAAAAAAAAAAAAAACTCTTGTGCAGTCATCCACCCTCCCCCCCAACTGGTCCAGCACTTAAAGTTGCAGAGGGGCTAAAGGGCTGATGGTTTATGTGCATGTACGTGCATTCTGGTTTGGGACAGTGGCGGCAGGGGTGTGTGTTTGTGTATATATGTGAGGTTTGGTGGGGGGTAGTGGCTTGATAGTAATGCATGTTGATGGTTTTTGAGATACTTCATTTCAGAAACAGGGGCCTCATTAACCGTAGTCTTCATCAGGCCGGCAAGCAGCGGGCACATTAGGGGTCCACAGGAAGTTAGAGTACAGCAGGAGAGTGCATTAGGGAGGCCTGGGGAGACACACTCCCTCAGTTCCACTTCCACCTCCAGCGCTTTTCTATATCTTAATGTACCTTTCAGAGGAATTTGGATAGAGGTCAATAATTATGCTCTTTAAATTATTCAGTCGAGGTCCTCTGTAATTGTGCTTTTTAGAGCTCGGACATTGACAGCATGGTTTACGGCACGGCCTGACCGGATGAATCAGGACAGAGTAAGAGAAAGAGTTTGTGATTGTGTTTTAATGCTCTCATCACCAACTGGTAACGGATGTAGACCGATTTTCATTTCTGTTGTTTCAGTAAGCATCAGCAGCAGATGACAAATTTACTCAACTGCAGAGTAAATTTGACAGTAAGTTTGGACCTTTTTCAAACAAGCACTGTGACCGAGGTGTCTGTGCTGGGCTGGCTGGTGTCAGAGACATTGAACACTACCAGCCACTCTGTGGGAATGTTTAGTTTGGGACACAACTGTGTTATTTTTGTTACATTGAGGAGAGAGAAGCACAAACTGCAAGGGTAGCAGAAAAAATCACCAAACTTTCTCTACAAAGCCAGCCCCTGCAACGTTTCACTGCACATGATAACATCGTCCGTCCACACAACAAGTCCTCTTTCAGCTACAGATTATTAACACATCGCTGAAAGCAGCAGAAAGCAATTCGCTGTTGTCACAGGGTCTAATATTTATATTTATCTAGTTGGGAAAGGCATTGACAAACATGTCACACACCTGCAGTTTTATAGTACATGCTAGTGCAGCTCGGTGTCAAAGAAAAAGACTGTACAGTAGAGTTTTGTTGGGGCGAGAGGAAGACTGTAATTACTGTCTGACGATTCATCTAGTCACTGCATAAAATAGTGTTTATCCAGTCGCCCGTGCTTCTGTCGTGGCTGAGGGAGGGGAGGGTCATGTTTTGCACAAGTGAGACAGCTAGGGCAATCAGGAGAAGAATCGTGACTCCAAAACATTCAGCCTTTCTTTCTTTTTTCTCTTTTTCTCTTTGTCTCTCCCTCTCTTTCTTTTGGGTTGAGAACTGGTGCCTTAGAAAATTACATCACCCTTTCCTCCCCCCTCTGACACACCCACACACAAATAAACATAAAAAGCTAATTTGTTAGCGCCTTCATTTCAGCGGCCTGAGCAGGAGAATATTGTTGGGGGAAAGTAATGCTTTGTCAAATGTTGACATGTGTTGCAAACATGGGGCCTTCAGCAGCAGCAACAGCAGCGTTTTGTAGAGCGGCTCAGGCACATTGTCGGCACATGAAGAGAGGATGCTTTGAAATAAGATTAGCCTCCAAATGGCCCTGCCTGCCCCCATCCATACCCCTGTGCATAATGTGTGTGTGTGTGTGTGTGTGTGTGTGTGTGTGTGTGTGTGTGTGTGTGTGTGTGCCTGCACAAAGATGCTAAATGATCATATCCACTGAAATATTTGTGGGCCTGTTTTCTCACAGAATGAGTCCGGGTGTCATGTGCTGTTTATCACTGTACAGCTGAAGGTGTGTGCACACATTTGTTCTGCTGCAAGGCCCCTTTGTCTGGCACACGGCTGGACTCAGTTTCTTGGGCCAGGAAGCACACGTCCCTGTCACTGAGGCTACCTCCCCTTGGCTTTGGGTCAGGGTGACACCGGGCAGGGGGAGGAAAAAAAATCCATCACCCCTACACCCTGCCCCCAAAATGAATCAAAATTGGAAAACAACATGCAAGGTTTGCTTAATACAGGAACACTTGCAATATGCTGATGTTTTCTTTTGCACACTGTGTTTGCTAAATTGCCTTTGACTGCGTGCATCAGTAATGAAACTTTATGTCCTTGTGGAGAGGGCAGCTAGTCCGTTCCAGTTAGGACCGGGACGATCTCTCCTGTCTGGCTTTTGTAAGAGTTTTTTTTTTCTAATACACGTCCTTATGAATAAATGAAGCCCATGAAGTCATTTTTTCCATATTTGTGTAAATTGCTTTAAAAGCATTTTATCATGTCATAAAAAAGCGCAATTGATCTGCTGGGCTTAGCCCATTGGACAGCTGTGTGTTTTGTTAATGGCCACTTTGCTCCAAGCAGCTTATTAAAAAATTTATATATAAATGCAAAAATTGCATAAATTATTTAGATACAGTAAGCATTTTTTTTTGTTTTGGTCAGGCAGGGAGGGGCTGTTATCAGTATGGAAATTTACCATAGTATATTATATGCTGAAATATAGTAATATATCTGCCCAGACACATATGTGTCCTCCTCACTGCACCCCCACACATGCAGAGGCGCAGGAAAAAAAAGTATATATTTTTTGATGACTTCGTTTCAGCAACCACGGAATGTCACCCATATCCTGGTTGATTGTACTTTCGAGTTTTATGATGTTTTTCCATTGATTTGTTTCCCCGGCGCAGCTGCCGACCTCTATTGAGGGACGAACGTAATCAGCGCTGACGCAAATTAGATGGTTATTCGTTTCGAAAATTGACAGAAAAACAATAAAAAAGATGAAATGCTCCCAAATCAATAGATATAATGAAATTCAAATAATCCGAGAGATGAGGTCTCCATGGCAACTGATAATGTGGAAAAGAAAACAATTTAATAAAGGACAGACACGCTTTGAAAACAGATTGGGGAGGGGGGTGGCTGTAAAGCGGGGAGAGGAGAGCAAAGCAGAGCAGAGGAGAGAAGAGGTGGGGAGATGGAGGGATAGAGAGAGGGAGGGAGGGAGGGATGGAGGGAAGGTGGTGGTGGTGGTGGGGGGGTGTTTGTGGCTGTAGTGGTTGCTCTATAGCTTGTTTCCCCCGGCGTGTGAAGGATCTGTGTCTGTCCCAAGGACACCGGAATAATTAGAAAAGCTTTCAGGCCAGAAAGTGCAGATTCAGGTTTTAATACACAAAATTATTTCAGGGGCAGTGAATCGGAAAACCATTTGTTGGTGACCTTCCTGAGAGGCCTCCCCCTCCCCGGTACAGGGCAAGATGGAGGCTATGTGGCAGCGCAGCCTGAGTTATGGCATATTTGTGTTTTTATAGAGGCAGGGGGAATGGAGTTGGGGAAGTTGGGAGGGGGATGAAGGGATAATGTGTGTGTATGGTTGTGCTGTGGTTCGTGTGTTCTTGTGTGCATGAGATTGGGGAGTGGGAAATGGTATGGGGGGGTCACAGGGAGACATTCGTGTGTGTGTGTGTGTGTGGGGGGGGGGTAGTCTAGCAGGAGTTTGGGCAGAAGGAGGAAGAGCAAAGATGAGAAGAGAGAAAGTGCAGAGAGAAAGGGGGAAGTTGCAGATCTGGCTGTATTTACAGATCAGTTGTCAAAAGGAACCATTTAAGGGGAATGCGCCCGTTCCTGCAGTGTGACAGGCGAGGTGCCTGTTTAAAAAGCAAAAGACAACTATGAACCTGAGAGGGAGATAGTCAAACACAGGCTTTTTTTGTAGAAGACAGACAGAGCAGGGGGTGGCGAAGGAAGCGAGTGGGTGTTAAGTGACTTCATTTGTAGTCTATTTAAGGTATGTTTTACTTGTCCTTGCGCTGCTCCGCCAACATCTAATGCAGGGGCTTCGTTCAAGTTAGCACAGCAAGGGAATAATGATTGAGTGCATCGTTCTTATTTCCTGTAAATACAAATGACTTTCCTTCATCTGCCTAAAAACTTGTATTTAATTTCAGTCTTGCTGTCAAGGGAGATTTGCGACTGATGCAAACAGAGATAAAAGTCAAAACCAAAAGCACAGCTCTGTTGCCCTCATTAGCTTATCACAGCTGTATGTATGTTCACTTTCTACAGGCTTTATTCAACATCCGTATCCTGCTCTTTTAACATCCTATTTTCTTTATTGCTCTTTGTCAACGTTTTGGAGGCAGTCTTGCTGGGCGTTGGAGCCTTGTCTGTCAAGTAGTGACTACCATTTTTGTGTCATTAGAAGGCTTTGTTTGACTCAAATAAAGGTGATCCACCCTCTGTTCAAATGATACCAACGGCACATCCGGGATATCAGGTCTTGAGTGCAGATACCCTTATCCTGTTCCAGGCAGCAATAAATGGAAAAACAAGTCTTCATACAAAGCAAAGCCTGATAAATGTTCTCCTGATATTTTAATAGCATAAGATCCTGATCCTGATCAGGATCACTGCTTTCCTGCATTATCAACTGTCATAAAAGTTAAGCAGTATATGATAAAAATGTGGGATCAAGTTCCACCAGGTCTTAATCTTAATCCTTTCTATTGCCTGGAAATAGTTTGCTGTTGAAAACATAATGAAGGTGTACCCATGCCCTTTTATTTATCTTTAGACAACGACCTCACCTACTTGAAAACATTTTTTTTTTGTTCATTAAAAAGAGTTTTTAAAATATGCGAGATAATTTCAGGCTTGTTTAGATTCTGTTAGGTATTTTATTTTTTACTCATGAGGCCAAACAAGATCTGACATTCTTCAGCAGGACAGCTAATTTTCCCCTGTACTGATATTGCGATGTGAAAAGTGCCCCACAAGTAGGAGAGAAACTAGAAATTCCCCACTGTACACTAGCTAAGAGCCTTCAAATCTCACATGCCAGTGTCAATGAGGACTGTTTTCTTTTTTAGATAAAAAGAATGGATAGAACAGAGACCGAAAAAACATGAGAGCTGATAGGCATCCGCTCTATGTCTGTATGTGTGTGTGAGTGTGTGTGTGTTTATGCACATGCACACTGACACACACATAGGGCTCACAGCACATGTTATCACTGTCAACAGCAGCAGTAGCAAACAGCAGCAGTTGTTCTCTGTGTGTGTGCGAGTGTGTATGAGTGTGTGTGTATGTGTTTGTGTGTGTTTTGTGTGAAAGTGAAAGGGTGTATGCTTTTGCATTCCCACAATCGCCCAGTCTCTCTCCCTTTCTGGCTGCTGGCTCTGAGGGACCCACTGTAAGTCAATCTGTGTGTGTCTTCATATTCCTGGTGAGCGTGTGTGTGCGTGCCTGTGTGTGTGTGTTTGAGGCACTACTGTACTACACTTCAGGAGCCAGGAGCCAGGACAGAGCCCAGCCGAACAGCGCTGAACAGGGCTGGAAAGGGCTGAGGGCCAGCTCCCTGTACACACCACCCACTTCACACCTGTCTCCCTCTCTCTCTCTCACACACACAGACACACACACAGACACGCACATAAACACACACACAGCTCATACAGCCGTGCTGCTCAGCACAGGGCTCTCATTGTAGCAGTGACAGGAGGGCGCCCGTTAAGTGGCTCTCTCTTCCTGGGGCCTGTGTGTGTGTGCGTGTGTAAGTGTGTGTGTGTGTGTGTGTAAGTGTGAGTGTGTTTTGTTCCCCCATGTGTCTGTGGGGTGGAGAAGGGCGATGAAGGACCCCTACTGGTAAAGTGGGTAAACTCGCACAGCCTCGACATCTGTGCTCAGAGAGGGGGGGTGGGAGAGAGGGGGAGGGTAAGGAAGGAGGAGAGATAGACAGCGAGAGAGGAGGACAGGGTGGGAAAGAGGAAAGGAGTGAGAAGAAGTAGAGAGGGAGGGAAAGAGAGATAGAGGGGGGAGAGAGAGAGAGAGAGGGAGAGCCGAGGCTTGGCAGAGAGCAGTTGAGGAGAAAATGCCTTGCTTTGTGGAGAGAATTCTTCCAGGGCAGGAGGGAGAGGTGAGACAGAGCGCAGAGGGCGGTCTGCTGCCAGGTAAGACACACACACACACACACACACACACACACACACACACACACACACACACACACACACACACACACACACACACACCTTACTCTCTCTCTCTCTCTCTTTCCCCCTCTCTTCTCCCTCTTACTCTCTCACTCTCCCTCACACACACAGACACACACACACGCGCGTGCACACACACACTCAGTAGTTGAGTGCTACCTCGAGGTGAACGGGTCTGCTACTAGTTGCAGTTGGCATGAGTCAGGCACGCATGTGTAGTAATGTGGTGGGTGGTGTCAAAGTGTGTGCGTGCGTGTGTGTGTGTAAGAGAGAAAGAGAGAGAGGGTTAGCCACACTTTGAACAGTGTTGGTAAGAGGAAACATAGCAGGTGCAATTGTAGTTTTCATCCTTTTTTTTACCCATAGTGCACCAGCAGAAAGAAAGTGATGTGTTGAGATAGTGAGCCGCTTCCTCAAAAGTTCTGTTGTTGACTTTTGAGCCATAGAGCGTTAAACAGTTCCACTTTTATATTTTATTGTCATGTTTATAACATTGTGGAGAAAAGTCACTTAAACAATACAGTGACATTTTTAAGTGCTTTCATTTTATGCTTTTAACATTACTTATCTCCACTGTGTTTGTTACAGTTTCTTATTACTTAAAAAAACTAAATTTTACATAAATATGATATATTTACAATTTTAGGGAAAAGTTCTCTAAAAACTGGACAACTTTAAAAAAAGTGGACTAGAGTTGTCTCCTCTCCTTAAGCTGGAAATCTCAAGTCTTAAACAGAAATAATTATCAGCAATAAATATTTTTTCATTTTAAAATAGGAATTTAGATACTATGTGTAATTTCATTTAAGTCTTCCTCACATCTTATTTACCTGAATTTGATGCAGTATTTGCACAATCCTGGACTTTCTCTTGTGAGATCAAGTTTTCAGATTTAGGTTTTACTTTATTTTTCACAAACTTTAAAAAACAAACTGATCACAGAATCCAAAACTTTTATTTCAAATCATGCACTTTTTTTTTTTTTCTATAGAGCAATATCTGGGCTTGGGCACAAAACAGTTTCAAATCCAAAGGGAGAGAAATTGAAGATTTTAAGACATCACTCAGCAGGCTAAAAATAAAAATTATTAAAAAGCACCTAAAATCCTTCCACTCAAACAAGTACAGATGTGTCTCGATTTGACGTGAGGTAGTTTGCGGTATCAGACTAGATTGATTTGGTCGTTTAGATACTGATGTTGTGATGGAGCGATTCGTCATCTAAGGGATTTTCCACTCTGCTGATGTAAACAGTGTCTGTTGAAAAAAGGCTAAAGAGTCTTTTTCTCCCTTCTGGAGATTGTGTTCTGAGAGGAATAATCCACCTCATGTACAATTAGATTTTCTCCTTTTGGCTAAATAAATACAGTGTCTGTGAACATAAACACAGATTTACTGTGGGGCCCTGTGGGTGTCTGCCTCTCTCTCTAACAGCCTCCTGCTTCAGCCTGGGCCTGACTTTGCTTGTCGAGTCCCACAGAGGAAAAAAAGAAAAGGAAAAAGACAAGGCAGAAGTTGGCCCGCTCTAACTTGACGCTTGCTGTTTATTTGTTTTTATAACAAATGGAACCAGCTTCCCGAGTGAAAGGTGAAGTCAGAATTGAATTTGGCTTGCGTTACCGTGGCGATCTGGCAACCGCTCTCGTGTCCCATAGGACTGCTCTGGTTGCTGTGTGTCGGGCGCGTGTGTTTGTTATTTAACTGATGTGTGTGCATGCTCTGCTCTGTATGTGTGTGTGAGTGTGTGTGTGTGTGTGTGTGTGTGTGTGTGTGTGTGTGTGTGTGTGTGTGTGTGTGTGAGTGTGTTGTGGGTGGTGGTAGCAGCATTCACGAGAGAGACATTTTACTAAGCAGACATTTCCCCCTCTGTTTTCACTCTGACCTGGTAGGAGATTGATGACTGAATTGTGGAGTACATGTTAACAGTAACTGGTGATTTATGAAGATACTTAGGGTAAGTGAGGCCGCACAGGCTGGAAGGGAAGAAAAAGATATAGCCTTTTAAGTTAATGCAAAAATATAGCCTTTTTAAGTAATAATTGTTATTACCACTGCAGGGTTTGGAGAGAAGTCTGGGTTCGACCTGAATCTGCACACAAAGCATTGTGAAGCTTTTTCCTTTCTGTTGGCCATCCTGTGTCTCCTAATTGTTCCAAGACTTAATTGAACTTTGCAAGTGTATTTTTAGGAGAAAAATAAACAGGAGAAAATAGCTGCTCATTTATATTTACAAGTGAATAGACTGATATCAAACAAACTCCTTTTCGATGAATTTTGAATTGAAACAAAAGCGTCTTTTTCCAGAGTAAACCACAGTGGAAAACTTTTCTTGGATGAACCTTTGCAACGCAACAAGTGCACTGTGTGTTTTGGCAGACCCCTTTAGCCAAAGATCCCTCTGAAAATCCGCATGCAATTTTAGAAGAATCAGATTCTTTCTCTTTCCTTGGCTCATGCACTGCCCTGATATTATGCACACAGAGAATCCCCCCCTCTATTCAAATATGAAATTCAATCCTCTTGAATGTGATCTATAGCATTTTTAAAGAATAAAGCAATTTTGGGGAATATGGAATAGTGCTTCCCCTGGATGAAGGATGGCTTTCATTTTTTTTCAAGGCACCTCTTAGACTGAGTGAAATGTTTCCCGTGTTCGCCCAGGGACGACTTTATTTCTTACCAGGGATTTAACACTCACTCAGTCCCCTCATAAATACAGCATCCCTCAGTCCTTCGCTTGCCATAACTCATGCACTAACTCTCTAGCTAACTAAACTCATATAGCAGAGCCAACACTTGTTTGTCTTTTACCTCAGCCTTTCTCGCCCACTATTCTTCTCCGTCTCTTTTCCTCCCCTCAGCTGATTTATATATGACAGAATCTCCTCTGACTACCGTCTCACCAGGCTCCTGCACTGATCTTCTTGGCCCACTCGTGGAGTGAGTTTTGGAAGAAATGTGCATTTGAATATGAGCCAGCCTAATCTCCTTGAGGCTATTTAGAGTGAGCCTAATGCTCCAAGAATGAGCGAGAACAGCACCGGAGAAAATGCGGACGTCCCTCTTGGCGTGTTACAACACAACTCAGGTCTCCAAAGAACGAAGCAAGTCTTTGATTAGCTGATGAGAATTTCTCTGTAAGGCAAATGACGTAAATTTGTTCTTTCAGGACACCTGTTGAAGATTTTGGTCTCATTAGTCTTTATACATTAATGGCACCTTGGTAGAAATTTTACCTTTTGGCATGTTTTCCCAATGGTATAATAAATATCAGACATACAGCAGCTGGTGAACTTTGAAGCCATTTTACTTTAGTCAGATGAAAGAGCTCAGGTGGGGTATAACAGTGTGGTGGAAGCCTTTACTGATCTGGTGCCGATTGGCATTTTGGGAGGAGACAGTCTTTCTGGCGTGGTTCCCGTATTGGTTGTTAACAGCCTGCTGGTACCTTCTGTTCACTCAACTCCTCGAGCATCTGAAGACCCTCTGAAGTCAAAATCGCCCATTTTGATGTCTCGTGGCAGCACCCAGCGTTTTGTTGTATTTGCGTTTGAAAAAAACAGGCTCTGCTCTGAGGAATTACCTTCAGCACTTGTTGGTGTCAGATAGAGGAGGAGGGTACGGTTGCTCCTTTTTCCCCCCATTCTCCCAGCTCTCTTTGCTGTCCTTCCTTTCTTTTTGATCTCGCCATCAAATCTTCTTCAGTTTTCATGAGTGACATTTACCCAAGAGCGGCATGGGAAATGGTTGGCTGAAGAAGACGTTTGAGAAAATATGCCTGAGCAAGCTATCACCTTTGATAAAGCCATAGTTCCAGTGGGAGAAGAAGAAGAAAGCCGGAGAGTTGGAGCATTGTTGGTAATGAAAAATGCCATGCGAGAGGGAGCATCTCTCTGATCACAGCCTGTTAAACCAACAATGTATAGTACAACAGATACAACTCCACTTGTACATCAAGCATCTCTCTGGTGTTGTAGCACAATGAGAGTTTGACCCAGAGGGCTGATCTGGATCCTGGGTACCACACTGTGCCTTTATTGCACATCAGCTGGCACTAAATAATCTCATAATAAAACACTCCGTTCACACACAGTGGGGTCATGCTGGCGCTGCCATCAACACTGGCATACCTTCAGCTGTGTCACCATTTGGCAAAAAGCTGGCGAGGCACTTGAAAGACTGCGAGGAGAAAGAAGAAATAACGGGGAAGTGGAGGGTAGCTGAAGGCACAGAGAGCGAGAAATGTTAGCTTTAGTAATTACTACCTCTATAGAGAAGCAGTGGAGAGGACAGTGAGGCAAGCGAGCGCACGAAGGAGGCCCCGTGTGCAGATAATGAAGGGGTATCATTGTAGCTCTGACAGCGTTAATCTTAGAGTGCCTCACAGTGTGTGTGGATCTCGATCTGGATATGTGGATCATATGCATATACTGGCTGAGCGTACAAAGGCCGTCATACAGCACAAGTGACTCTGTCTTTACATGGAAGACCATCCAGCCCACCTGACACCTCAGTTTGTCCCACTGAGCTGACAGTCGCCACCTCTTACATCTTCTTGAAGCTTTACAACCTTATGCCTCTCCTTCACGAAAGCTTTGGGATCACCTATCAGTCCCTGAAAAACTTAACATCTTTTTTTTTCTTTCGTGGAGGAGTAAGAAAAGAAAGGAGGGAAGCGGTCCAACTTTCTTTGTGCCTCCTTTTTCTTTTCTTTTTTCCTCTTCCCATTTGAAGTTGTGAGACACTCATTTAGGCCTCATTGCACACCAACACTCAACACACGAGAAAGTGTTATGAATATGTATCAACGCAGCATATGGCAGCAGTAGCACTGGGACTAGGTGTGTCCAGAAGGGTAGAGTGCTGCCGATGCATTATTCTCCATTCAAATTACCACGGTAAGAATGCAGCGGGGAGCTGTGAGTTTTTCACCACCCCTTCAGACGGGGCAGGAGAAGAACCTGGATCCCGGGGAACAGCAGGAACGGAAGAGAGGTGATGAGCACAGTAGTGGGCCAGCTGAGTTTCCTTGATTTGGTCGATTTTTTCGGCAGGTTCAAACCTGGCACTCGCTGACACAAGCGTGATTAAAAGTGATATTTCTGACACATTAGGATGCGCACGGGAAGTAACCTCCTCTAAAGCGTTCATTATTAGATGCATGACAGACCTGAATATTTATAAAATGGGTTTTAATAATTAATAGCAGCAATCTGCTCCCGTAATTCATCAGATTTGCACTTCAACAGAGTATCCGTTTTCACTTTAAAATAATAATAAGAGGAATATTAATGTTGGAGAAATGTAAAACGGGCAGCTGGATACAGCGCAAACAGGCAAGCACTCCATGCTCACTTCTGAGGCTCTCCTTTAACTTGTCACTTTTCAAATAAAATTACATTTTAAGCTGTCAACACTGCAGTGTTTGAAAACCTTCAGTTGTTTGTGCTTGACAATTTAGTGAGTGGCTTCTGACAAATGTGGCAAGTCATGAAGATAAAGATGCAGGAAACAAAGTGGGTTTGGTGTAGAATGCAAAAGTAGATGCTGTGGTTTTATCAAAAGCAAATTTATTTGTTTGAGTCAACTTAGCAGCACTTCCTTTTGTATACTGAGACCCAAAAATAGACAGCATTCTTTTTTTCCTGTAAAGCAGCTTTACTCGTTTCATCGTTTCACAGACATTTCTCTTTTTTTTTTTCCTTCTGCCTTTTTGCGAGTGTTGTTTTATCACACCTTCAAATTCAGTCACGGCACATTCCTCTGTCTATTGAACTCCCAGAAACAAGAATGTTCCTGTTTTAGGTAAAAACTGCAACGTTTAGTTCCTCCTCCACTTCACATGGAACTTTTGGGTAAAGCACACAGTTTTAGTGCAGTCACAGGCACAGTGGTGTGTTTGTCCTAGCTACAGATCACTTTTTCTCAGTGTGTGAGAATGCTGGTATATTTTACATGACCCACAGACACTTGTCAGAGAGAGAAGAGTCAGTATGTGGAGCCCAATGCCTCTCAGTTCTCCATAAAAGAAATACAACAGCAGACCTTCTTCACTTTTTGCTTGTCCACTTAAAACATGTAATGACATCTTTTTTTGCTCCCTCCCACACTTTTCAAACATATATATGGACGCACAAAGACTTTTACATGCCATAAAAACCCTTTCAATTCTGTTGTCACTTCCACTTTGCTTATCAGAAAAGTATAACAATAGTTGTCACAGCAGAGTCACAGCCACAGGGTCTGAAAAATGGAAATCCCATGAGCAGGAAGTCTCCGTCTCATCACTTCCTCACTTAGCTCTACAAAGAATGTGTTTTGATCAAAATTTAATAATGCTTCATAAGAGGAATACATTGAACTTTGAAAGTGAAGAATGTGATTTGAAAAAAAAATGAAGAATTAGATAAAGCCCTTGGTGATCTGTGGGTCATTTTTGGACAGGTATAAACCTGACCAAGATGACATTTTCACTGGCACCTGTGGTGCAGTCTACTGCACGTAAAGTCCAAAAGAGGAAAAGTCTGTCAGGCAGAGCAAATGTTTTAATGGCAGCCAGAGATCGATGTTGTGTACACAAGCATCCTGTCTGGAAATACATGCTTTTCGGGTAAATGTTGCCTCCTTTTTTTCTTTTTAGTGAAGGAGAGTCAGAGGAGAAAAGGAGTAAAAGTAGGAGGAGGCAGGAGGGGGACAGGGTCAACAGGACCTGATGCATATACTTTAAAACTGAAATCGGGGAAATTGCCTGAAAAACATTGACTTGCACTCTCGTTCACAAGGCCCCCAATCTGAAAAACAAATTCAAAACGTAACCTTGGAAATCAATTAAGAAGCCTCCGAGAGCTTGAGAAAAAGAAGGGGAAGGTCCGCCCTTCTTTTTCCTTTACCCCCCCCTCCCCACATGTCTTTCCTCTCCTCCACTTAACAGGAACTCGGATCTGCCGATCACAACACTGCCTTGTGTGAGGAGGCTTTGTCAGCAGGGGCTTTATTTAATTTTTTTTAACGGCAGAGTGCCTTATATGCTGTCAAAATGTCTTAAGAGTCTTATTAAAGAAATGCCACAGCTCATTTCCTTGTAATGCAATTCATATGCTGGTGAATGGGGGCATGTCTAAAGATCTAAACAGCTTTGCTTTTTAGGCTTCACATTAGGGGTTATCTGTGAGGGCTTGTCATTGATTGACATTATCTGGCCTGACAGGGCCTCATATCAAGGTTAACCTCATGGACAACAGTGCCACCCGCACGGACACACATCCACATAGACTCTGTAGTCAAATAAGGCACGCTCTCTTCAACTTCCCGTTGAGAGGGGTGCTACGTATGTGTGCCGGCTTCATCTGTGTGTGTAAGCCAGGTGGAGATTTCCAGACTTAATTGATAACTAATGGAGCGGCGTGTGCTGAGTTTACCCTGGAGGATTGACACTGTGTGTGTGTTTGTGCATAAATGTGGGTGTGTGCGTGTCCTGTGGAGTGTTAGAGGGGGTAGGTGATGGTAACAGGATGGGGATGACTTACTCAGCAGTGTAGCTCCGGATTCTGGTGAATTAAATATGGCCCTAAAGATAATAACATGGATTGACACATACCAGCCTGGCTGCTCCTGACCTCTTGGGCAAGCAATCCGTTCTCTTTGCCATAAAAAAAAAAAAAAAAAAAAAAAAAAAGTGTGTAACCAACACTCAAATCAGAACAACACACACAGTCACACACATCACCCCTTCTCCCTCCCAACAAGCCACAAAGGCGAAGAGAGATCCCCGTGACCAAAATACAACTGAAGCAGTTAATCTGTACAGATATTAGCTCAAGGGCCCTTGAGAGGTGCACCGCTGAGCCCCTTCTCCACTGTACTACCCACACTGCCTTGCTGGTGAATCACACGCAGCAGCCATGAGGGAGGGACACAGGGTCGTCTGCTCATTTACCATGGCGGTTGGCTTATCAAATTGCACTCCTGGTGTCTTGAAAATGAACATGGGAGCCGAGCTTCAAAACAAAGCTGCAGGAATAAATTTCCCCTGTTCTGTCTGTCAGGGCATGGGACTGTGTGTGATTGTGTGTTTTTGAGAGCGGAGTTTTAGCCTCCTGCAACATTTATAAATTAAGACATCATCTGGTGCCAGCTGCAAGTCCAGATTTGATGTACAATTTTAACAAGTTAGCCGTGTGTCCCATGAATTACCCTAAGCAGCAAACTCAATAAAAGTTGGCTGTTTTGGTACGAGGCTGTCAGAATGGTTCTTGTCACTCATGTCAGATTGTTTTTCTCTCTCCCTTAGACCATTTTAGGCTGCTTGTCCTCTGTTCTGGAAAACACCATAATTACCCTGTTTGTGATGAAGCCAGAGGGCGTATTTGTCCTTAGATTTCAACTTTCCTGTCTGATTGCCCTCAAGTTCAGCGTCTTTCCTCTTCCGTCTGCACTTGAAATATACATTGTTTTCTTCAGCCATTGTCCTGCGCTGCTAGTGTGTGTGTGCGTGTGTGTGTTTAAGTGCACGCATGTGTGTGTGTTATAAGGGTTTGTATCTGCCTTTGTCCTGCAGCGTCTTCTTTGTGTTTAGCAGCGGTGTGACGGGAGCGTAGCCCTTGGCTGAGGGACTGTGTTTGATAACAGCCTGTGGACCAAACTGAAGTGTACGAGTCCAAGCGGGTCCTTCAAGGTCAGCACCCCCAGAAAGACGGCACACAATGTGCAAGGTCACATTCTAGACTAAAAGCAATAAGTGCTTTATTGATAGGAGAAAAAAAAAACAAGCAGGCAGATGTGCAACCAACTGATTAATAATAAAATACATTTGTGGGAGAGAGGGAGGAAGGGGTGAGGGGAGGGCGGAGGGGAGAGGTGACAGCCACCTCTTGACTGTTTATCCGTGTCTTTTGAACTATACGTGTGCACCAGCATGAATGCATTTACAGTAGTTTTTTCCACAGAAAAACATTGATCTAAAAAATCAATACTCAAATCCAGTGGTTTAAAAAAAGAACAAACTTTGACATATCGGTGTTTGTTCCAGTTTCCTGGGAGCACAGTCCCTCACTTTGTGCCTGAATTATATCCAAACATGACCGCAGTTTTCAGGACTTATAAAGTAGAGTGTGAGAGTGTGCTCTTTAAACTCACTTCTCCTGTTTTGACAGTAATCTATGTGTCATATATATATATATTTAATCAGTGTCATATTTTATGACAGGGACAACAGTCACTGTAGATACCTTTTTTTCCATTCAGTCACTTTATGAACAATATGCCTTTTGTACCACACCTTCAGTGCTATTATCTTTTATGAAAATAAGCAGAGGGCATTGGACTGTCGTCATCTTTTATATGCCTTTATCATGCCTCCTCTCATGCTCTCCCTACCTCTTGCTCTGCCTCTTTTCCAACCTGGCAAACCTGCCAAGTGAGTAAAGCTCAAAAGTGGATCAGTAAGTGGCAGATTTAGAATTGAGGTGGAGAAAGCTAAGTCCCCAGTCCCAGCAAAACCTGTTTCTTCAGGAGGACTCTTAGGGACAAGGGGGTTGGGAGATTTCTATACGCTCTGCCTTCCCCTTTCTCTCAGTGATTCACTTACAGTAGTCTTCCCCGTCCCTACTTCACAGCCCCCTTTTTAAATCCCTTCTCTACATAAACTTCTTCTCAGATGTACCCACCCCTAAACCCCCATCTATCAACTAGTTGGCAATGGCATTGTTTTTAATCATCAGAACCTCAAAATTATTATTATCGCTTCTGATGCAGCAATTAAAACTTCAGGTCAGAGGCACAACGAGCGGTGATCAGCAGCCGAGCTGAGAAGTTTTAATTAGACGATCAGAACCATTAATGCACAAAAAAAAGGTGTGCGCTGGGAAATTAACGGGAACGTCTTAATCAGGGTTAGCGACTCCGAAGAGGAGTCAAGTGAACAGAGAGCAAAAAACAAATCATTTCCGCACCACTGGGACAAAACTCAATTAAATATGCATGCGGAAAAATGGAAATTTCTAAGCATCGGCAGCACAGACTGTTGGAAAACTGTGGCAAAATCTCACTGCAGGGTCGACGACCTGCTTATTGTTATTCTTGTGTAATAAAAATGAGAGAGGGGCCAGATGCTGGGGTCTGGGTGTCGTGGCGTAGTTGTCCATCAGTGGCTTTCCGCTTGACTTCCTTGTGGCTGCTGCAGCCTCTCTTCCGTGCAGTGAGGGAGAGAGGGAAAAAAGAGAAGGAGGAAAACATTCTTTTCCTGCAAGCCGTAAATTTACAAAAATAAAAACATGGTAATTTCAAGTGTGTCTCTGCATGTTTGCCTGTGTGGCCCAGTGATTTCCCTGAAACACACATGCACACACGCTCTCTCATATATATACATCTCTCTTGGGAGCTAGAGACACAAAAGGTTCACTGAGCTACACACGGGGAACTGCAGTCTTGTCAATTAATCTGCCGAAGGTTCATAAAGTTAGAACCAGGTTTTTCTTTTTTTTTAAAGAGCTAAAGCAACTCTCTGTTGCATATTGTAAAATAATCCTGAGCTGAACAGACATCTCCCAGACCCTGTTTGTATTAATTAACTCCTGATATTGCGGGGGGTTTGTCCCTGTGTCAGTCATGTAGGAACTCAGCAGGAATCTACAACAAGCCCAGTACCTGTGTTTGATTAGGTGGAGACAAAAGCCACGCTTTAAACAGGTAGTATCTGACTCTCTCATTTACAGACCCCTCTGTATGCTTGTTTCATACATGCTGCGGGGAGTTTGTGAATTAAAGGTGTATCTTAACAATAAAGTCATATTATTTTTTCACTTTTTCCATTTTACTCTTTATCTTTCATTAGAAAATGACAAAAAACCTTTTGGACAGAAGCGCCCTGCTCTGGTCTGGTCTGGTTTGTTAGTTAGAAGTAAAGTCACAGCCATGTTAAATCTCCCATTCTTTACCCCAAGCTGCCTTGATTGCAGTCTGTGCACGTTCACACAAATAATGCACTTCCAACAGCGTTATTAGGATTTGAAACACCACTTGATTGGGCATGATATCATTCTGGCACACAAACAGATACTCTGCATCAAAAACCAACAAGACCTGTGGGGCTTAGAGCTGTGAAAGAGTAAGTCTGTAAGTAAGGAGAGCTCGCCTTGAACACAATCTGTGTTATCCGGCTCTGAGAAGAAACAGGCACACAAAGATCTTTGAAGCTCTTATTTTTGACTGAAGATGAAAAAGAACTTGACCTGCTCCAAATGTATTCAAAATAGTTTCTTGAGTTTTTCCTCAGGTTTTGGCCTTATACAGACAGTAAATGGCTCTCCTTTGTGGCCCTGCACTCTTTCCAGTAAAATAGTGTCACAGCTAACATAAGCAGCTGGAAAAATTAGTTTCAGCTGTTGTGTTCAAATTCAAACCTGTCTGTTTTTTCCAGTGCTTACTGAGGTGTCTCCTACTTGACAATTAGCACACCAGGCTAAAACAGACTGTAAATAATGTCCAATGCCTGTGACAGTGTTGTTTTTCATTCTGATATTCATTAATAAGGCAGAATGCTTACTGGACTCTAAGGGAGGTGGGGGAGTTAGTCCCAGAGGGAAAAGTTGTTCTTTCATGTAGGTCCCCACAGATTTTATCTCATTGTACGCTATCATGCACACAAACGACTTGAGGTAAACAGCTTAGTGTTACCATAGCAATCCCTATTGTAAGCAATGGCAAAAAGCTGCTGTGGACAGAAACCCTCAGCATAAATAATAGTTTAGACAGCTACCATAAACCACTGAACCATAGCATGATACTCCTCACAGGAAGCTCACAGTATTATATTTGCTTTGAAGAACATACTACCTCTAGAAATAAACACTGAATTTGCAGTGAAGATGTTGGTTAAGGTAAAGCTGCCTTACATACTTCACCAGCAGCACTTAGTCCTCAGATAATGCTCCTTATTGTTAACAGAAAACCACACATAAATACTCACTAATGGAAAGAAATAACTTTGTAGGGGTCATTTCCTACAAGGAGCTTGAGATTTCAATGCAAAGGAAATCGGTAGTTAAAGTATGAAATACTGAATGCAGTAAACAGAAAAATGACCTCCACTGCAACACCCATATGACCTCAATCTTCCTTTGTGGAGTATTTCTGAAGAAAAAAAAAAGAAACACAACTTGAAAATTTATGTCTTCCACTTCCTAATAGTTTTTCCAGCTGATCTTTTTTTTTCTTCAAAATTGCTGTCCTCTTAAAGGTGACCCTTTCACCTCCGCCTGCAATTGTCTAACACTAAACTGTACAGTAATGCGCCGCTGATATATGGCCCACTCAAAACTACATAATTCCTGAAGTCATTGTTTCAGAGAGGAAGTGTGCAATGTAAATACAGTAACTGAGAAAGCATGTGTGGGGGGCACGGGGTGCATTGTCTGGCGATGGGGTGATCTGTAAACTCCTTCAGATTGTATATCCTCTAATGATCCCACAGCTTTGCAAAAGAAAATGAAAACAGGATTTTATGTTGCACTGATGTGATTTACATAATGCTGGCAATGGCTCACACATGATTGTGCTGGGCTTTATGGCTGAGGAATAATGAGGAGGCTTGTACTCATTGTTATAGAGAGTGAATCGACTCTTTAAGATAGAACTCAGTTACCTCTGATAACTCATATTTTCTTTTTTCTGCTGATACAATTCATAGCACTGTATGGTGTATTATCTTTAGCACAGCAGGACTGAGTTAGATTCAATATAGCTTCAAACAAAAAAAAAAAATATGACAGCTATGGCATGCTGTTGAACTGTTTTCACTGAGTCTGGCTGGCAAAGCTTTAATAACTGCTGAGTAAAAAAGAAAGTCAACTATTTACACAGTATAAAAGTTAACATGTTGGTCTGGCCGCTCATGTTTTTTACTGCTTCTTCTAAACCTGTGTTGTTCACGGTCACTTCCTCCTGCCTTCTTAAAAGTTATTTACAACTTGATAAAGATCTGGCCTTGATTTTGAGTCAGCAAAATGCAGTTGGAAGGTGAACTTTGGTGGCTCTGGAAATAAAGTGAAAGGTACTAGAGTGCAGTTTCTGCCCTAAAAAGGCAGCTCTGGATATGGAATGCCACAGGCAGCTGTTCCTGCCTCATCAGAGGACATGTTATAAAGATAGCCCCACTTGGGTCGAAATAATGCCACCCATTCCTGCCCTAAAGCACACTCTATCATGCTCCATTGTTCAGAGAGGCCACACTGGAAGAAAGAAAAGCTTGAGACTGTGCAGTTTGTCTTGTTAAGCAGAGATATGTAAAACAAGGTATCTGCTTTTTTTGTTTCATGTACCTGTGCTGCTGTCTCAGCAAGATCAACGTGAAAAACAGGCTATAAAACAGGGAAATGTTTACATGGCTTATTATTATTGTTATTATTTTTATTTTTATAAAGTGAAACCAGCAGCCTCTCCAGAGCCCGTTTTAAGTCTAATTCCTCTGAATGGCCAACATGAGAGCGGCTCCAAAAAGCTTAAAAGTGCTCAGCGTTTTCACTCCATGTCTTGACAGCTTTAACGCTGTACAGCCCCCCACTCAGTGGCAGGACCACAGCCTCTCGAGGTGAGAGTGAAGATAACATTTCACGGTGTCTCTATAGCCCTGTCATGTGAAGGATTATGTCGCTGTGCTTTTGCTGCTTGTAGTACTGTAGGAGGTCTGATACCTATCAGCCTGTGATTTCAGCTGCCTGCACTTTTTTTCTCCTTTTTTTCTCACCCTGGTGTTAAACTCTGAGCTGACCGAAGAGGTGTGACTAGAAAGATATGTACAGTATCTCTGTGTCCTTCCAGTCTTGTGCTGTTATTAAGGCCCTCTGGGTGGTATTAATAGCAGTCACTGTTGTTCTGGGTTGTTTTTCCATTGTGATGAAAGTTAGTGAAAGGTAAAACCTGCTTCAAACTTTGTTCCCAATGGAACTAAAAGCACACCTTGTAGATCTTTTTGAAGAACCTGCTTATGGTTGGAAAAATGTAATTATTTAATGATACTTGTCTGTTAACAGGTCATGCAGATGGAAGAGACATTTCAACAAAAATGAACTCATCTTGAATCTTTTTCTTTGTTCCTTTTTCCCTCAGCTGAAAGGAGTTTATGCACTGAAACGACCTCAGGAAAATCCAAGATGGCCGCCAAAAGGAAAGGTGGCCTAAAACTCAATGCGATCTGTGCCAAGCTGAGCCGCCAGGTGGTGTTCGACAGCAGCTCCCAGAATGCAGAGGGAGACCAGAGTGTAGCAGAAAACAGTGAACGTGGCAGTTCCCACTACGATGACAGCGAGACCAACTTCCCAGAGAGCCTGAGCTTAAATCAGAGCCTGGAAGAGGACCAGAAGAGACGTGAGGCCATCGAAAAGTGGGTTAACGGCGAGTATGGCGATGAGCCACCAGTTCCTGAGGATGACCAGGAGCATGAACTCAAAGTCAACAATGATGAAGACGGGCCTCCTGAGGGCGTGTACATGGTACAGCCCAAAGGCTGCAGCGATGACGAGGAGGAGGCCGAGCCTGCAGCAGGGTCTCATGATGGCAGTTTCCATGACGACAAAGAACCTGAAGACAGGCCTTCAAAAGATGACACCTACATGCAGCCAAGCGAGGCCCCGAGTCGCCAAGCACCTTTCTCCTCTCCAGGTACATTTTGACTTTCTTTCAGTCAGGTGTTTCTGCTGTACTCAACTCACTCCTTCACTTTTTTTAATTCACTCTGTACCATCACCATCTTAAAAACCTTAAAAACACTGTATCAAGGAAAAGACGCTCAGATAGAGGGTGGGTGACACTGGCACATCTACATAAGCTTAAGTGTGCCCATTATTGAAGAGTGAGTAACTCTAGAGTTACATTAAGAATAGCCAGTGACACTATTACCCTAAAGACAGATTCAACTGGCAGGCCAGGGGGGAAACAGAAACTTGTCAGTGTGTGTGGTTAACTCTACAAGAAATTCATAAATGGAGAGGGCTTACAACATAAGGCCGCTTCTGCAGCTGTGGGCCAAGAGCGGATGGCAGGACCGGGCTAAGCTTCATATTACACCCAGGATTACATTTTGAGTCTTTGATTTTCTCTAAGCTCACTAAACTTAGCCTCTGCTTCAAGCTCCTCTGTTTCATGGTATTGTAGTCTGCCATGGAGGAGCTTGTTTTTTGATTTACAGTTGTCAAATCCCGGTGATCAGATCAAATCAGAAATAGAAGTTTTATTGCATGACCAGACCACAGTTAAGCATGATACTGTCTTCTCAAACTCAATAGTGATTTCATGAAATTAATGTTAGCAGACATGAACACATTAGAATAAATCCTTCAATACTTTATCTTCTTTGAAATGACTCATAATAACCTCTGTTTAATTGTGACATGGTGTACCTTGGGTGTAATTCACTGATTATCAAACAGATAAAGCTGGCAGACTTTCAACTGTCATTTTAAAGCAGTACAAGTATGCATGGACTGCATAAACAGTCTTTTAAAAGAAGTGCTGTTGACTGTTTATTCCTTTGTGACTGTTGAAACCAGATGCAGTTTTACTATGAGGAGATTAGGCTTTGTATTGCACAAGTAAAAACACAGAACTGTGTAAAGCGAGAGAAAAAAAAAAGAAAAAAACAGCTTGGTTGTATGAATTGATAAAACCCTTTTCACCGACACGCAGTGGAGAAAAAAAACAGCAATTTGCAGGTGAGACCGGTTGTTGCGGTACAAAAACAAGTTTTTTTTTGAGCTTACTCACATCAGTTTAACTGCTTTTTGGTCTTTCATCTAGGTCTAGGTATCTGCCTCTGTGTCATGTTCGCATGCTCTTTTTGTCTTCATTTCTTTTGTTTTCACCAACTGCACAGCAGTGGCTCTGGCCACACTCAGAATTGGGGGCAGGGGCTTCTCAGAAAAAGAAGCAGGTTTCATATCAGAGCTAAATGAAAAAAAAGTCCTTGTGGTTTTAATTAGTCATTTTGTGTTTATTTCATGGTCATGAAAAAGCCTGTGTGTAAATATGTATCACTGTTGTGTAGCAGGCCTACACCTTTCCTTCCACTGGCTCCCTCACTACTTTACATCTCACAACAAAGCCGCTGTTTGAAGACTGCGGGGAGAGCATACTGCATCAGTTGCAAATCTTGTCTTAAGAGTTTTTTTTTTTTTTTTCAGAGTTGTTCTTTGTTGATTGTAACTAGGGCATCTATATTGCCATGTTTCTGCTCAGCACACAATTAAAACATTTTTTCCCCCGCTCTCTCTCTCTTGCCGCTGTCTTTCAAAGGCTGATGCGGAGTGCACGTAATTATGCATATAAACATAGTGGCTTAATTATCTCTCACAACATCAGTGACAATGTAATTAACAAACATTGCAAGATCAATGAGAGAAACTGCGACCTTCAAAACATTTAACTCCTCACATTGAGGCATCGTGCGGATTTCCTATCAGTGCAAAACCCCAGAATACTTTTCCTAGATAATTTAGATGTCGCATTAGAGCCCTCATAAGCAAGTCAATGGAATAACCAATGAATAAAAACTATGAAAGCAATGACAGAGATGCTCATAGCGATGGATCAAACAGGCTTGACCATGACTTCCATTTGCAATTCTGGGTTCACTGTAAAAGGTTATTGTTCATTTCAAGTGGTTTCAAAGCCCTCTCTATTTACTGCCTGTTAATTAACTAACCAAACAGAGAGGAAGTTTGAAGCTCCGTACAGTTTTGTGTGTGGCAAATTAGTCCAAACAAATTCACATAATGTCATTTATTCAAAGCAACTCTTTATCAGGATACCACTGTCCGTTTAAACAAAACACACTTAAACTAATTCACTCACACAGGCACAAATTGCTTTTTAAAACTATTTAAATGATTGTACCATATGAAATAATCCCATTGTGCAGAACTTATTCGAAATGAAATCATATAAAAACCCTGCATGTTATTAAACCATTTTTCAACTAAGTAGTTAACACTGTGTATGTCAGGTTCACAACTGACAACCTATGGAGGGTATTACAACTCTAGATTAGTCCATATATAGCTGCTAGAATGCACCATTATCATCAGCGACACCTCTGTCTCTCAGTCCTGGGAGTAGAGAAGCTGTGCCATGCTGATGGCCATGTTTGGTCAGCCTAAAGGAGATAGAATACACATCTGTTATCATATCTAGGAGGGTAAATGTAGCCTAATTGCCTCAAATATAGACAAGCCAGGTCTGCATCAGTGTTAGGACTTGCTTGCTTGAAGTGTCAGATTAGAAACCGTTTAAAGTAGATATTCTAGTGACACTAGAGAAAGTGCAGAGGGAAATGTCAGGTTCACAGAAAAACAAGGAAAAAGGACATGCATAGACAAAAAAGAAGGTAGATGTTAATGGTTTTTCATTTATTTTTCGTTTTATCTTTGAGATGAGGTGGGATTAGTTGTTGAAACAATGTCGTCTTGCTCCTTAAGGTTTCCTACCAGGTATCACATGACTTCATTAAGAGGCAGGCAGATACTTAAGTAGAAAGTCATTTATACGGTGTTTAAGAAAGGTTATCTGCTGTCACTGACAGTCATAATCCTTTCAAGTTCAATCATTTGCCTTTCATTGATAGCACATCGCATGGCTCCACCGGGGAAATGGAGACTTGACGACTTTTTTTAGAAGGTTATAATATTACCAAAGCAGATAGAATATCAACAAAAACTATTTCTACATGCAGATGAGGAACTGCATGTCTTTCTGCAGCCCTGAATCAATGTGATTTATCCTCAAATATTGTTGATGTTGTCTTTTAGTTTTTCTCCCAAGCATTTTACAATTTTTTTTTTCCCCCAGTAATTTTAAAAATTTACTTCCATCCAATGTCAAATCCACCTTTTTCTCTTCAGATACCCTTAGTAAAGTGGAGTTTGTTATTTTGGATCACTGGTGTGAAGGGGGGTTGGCCCTAACTTTAGAGCTATATGATATACTGTGACCTAAGATACCCTCATAAATGCGGCGGCTGTAAAATGCCTGCAACCGCTAAAGTTATCAGCACCTAAATGACGTGAAAAGAATCTCAAGCGTAAGAACATTTTAGATGGATATGTTCAGATGTTTTCAAGTGATACTTAACACTATTACACTTCTATAATTACTTGAACAGGTGAATGAAAAAAAAAGCTTACATATACAATAAATGAAATTGTTGTGTGATACTGGTATGTATAGTTTATCAGTAGTATGTAGTTTCAGCAGATTTGGTAAAATGATCTGCATTCAGGTATTTCTTCACAAATACCGGGTCTATTTCTCTTACATTTTTTATGCTCTTTCAATTCACCAGATCCTCTTTCATACTGATCCACCGTGCAGTGGAGCAACCCCAACACAGTGAATGGAAATTTAGGGATTATTTTACATGCCGTGTAGGAGATGTGAAAAGCAAGGCACAGGGACTGATTTAGCAATAACTGAGACATTTGAGACAAGTGCAGAAATATTTGTGGATGACTTTCCCTGGTGGATGTTGGTAATATTACTTCTTGTGAGCTCATCTGTGCACTAGTGATGAAAAAAAAAGCAAATAAATAAAAAAAGAAAGCAATATTAACTATTGTCCAGTTACAGTGTCAAAGAGGAGCTCAGAGGGTTACCAAAGATTTTCTATGATGCTGGTAAATTATCATCTACTTAAAAGCATGCTTATCTGTGTTCTTGTGTACTGACACAATCAGGGCCTTTTGGAAACCACAGCCTATCTCTCCTTTTTTTTCTTTGTGTCTCTCTCGATCACTCTTTCTCTTTTCTGTCCATTCTCCACTTTGTGATGCAGAACTTTGTCCCTCCACTGCTTTCAGGCCAAATCATTTTTCCCTTTTCCCCACTCTCTGACCTCTTGCACTAACCTGGATGAGAGTTAATGGGCCAGAATTAATCTCCACATAATGCAATTAGACTATACATTGACTATATTTCGCCCATGTCCTTGGGGAAGTTGTCCAATTTAATTGACTCTTAAAATGAAAGTGATGTTTCAGTTCACAAATGTGTAAAGAGAGGAAAGAAGGAAAGGTTTGCTCTTTTCACTCTTGAAGGTGACACAATAATCACCTTGTTTTCCAATACTTTACTCATAGCTCTGTGAGGGGACAAATAATTTCTCTTAACACAGCATTAATTTATGTAGATATAATTGCTATCTTTAATACTTAAGCATCCGTCTTTGTTTTGAAAAAGACTAATAAATGCCATGGTATTATCAAATGTTTTTAAGAAAGTTCCATAAATTTGTTTCAGAATTTTAACAAATTCCTGTTCTTACTTTAGTAACACTTAACTCAGTAAAGCCTCTAGTGCAGTCTCTTGCAAAGTCTGCAAGACTGACTTTGAGTGCAACCCAAACAGGAAGAGCCTTGCCTCAAACTGCATGTTTATTGATTCATAAACGCCAAGACATGCTGTGATAGCTTGAAAGAAATCATCCACTTTAGCTATTTCAAAATAATGCCTTAAAAACTGTTACAAGAAAATACTTAATGACTCTTAGGTGTACCACATACAATAAGCTTTATATTTACAGGTCATATTTGCAGCTTTAAAGAAAAAAAATCTCAATTCAGTTTTAGGACTCACTTATAAAGGAGCTTGTTTTTGTTGTCCTCTGCACAGGAGAAGCATCTGCCCTGAGAGACTATGCAGCCAACACCATGAATGAATTTTTAGGAATGTTCGGTTACGATGACCAGCAGGTAAGGGATGAGCTGACCAAGAAGATCAGCTTTGAGAAGCTCAAAGCCGCTACCTCAGACCCCTCATCCCTCAGCAGTGAGGAGGCCTCACGGCGCGCCCGCTTCTCCAAGTACGAAGAGTACATACGAAAGCTAAAAGCCGGTGAGACCCTACCTTGGCCCATGCATGCTTCCCCACCCAAACCAGAGGACCTCAACTCGAAACTGGCCCAAGATAAGAGCGCTACCATGCTCCAGACCTCCGGGTCCCTCCCAGGGGCTGAGGCACAGATCTACCCCTCAAGCCTGGACCACAAACAGCCAGGAGGACCTCAGTTGGGCACGTCTCAGCCACCAAATCCCTCTCACATCCAGAACTTGGCATCCCGAGCCTCCAAGTATGACTTCTTTATTCAGAAGCTGAAGATGGGTGAGAGTCTGCAGCAGCAAAACGGTAATGCTTACAAACGGCCCTCCAAGTATGACCTCGAGAACGTTAAATTTCTGCACCTTTTCAAGCCTGGTGAGGGCAACCCTGACATGGGGGGTGCCATTGCTTATAAGACTGGCAAAGTGGGCCGCCCTTCAAAGTATGACATCAGAACAATTCAGAAGCTGATGCCGGGAACTCAAGAGACCTCCCTGATGCCCAATGTCCTTGCCACAGCACCAGGGAATCCAGGAGCTCCTGGTGTTCCTACTGTAGGTGCAGCTGGGGCCACCATCGCCCCAGGGCTCACTGTGGACCAGACAGGACATATAAGCTTCAACGCCTCCGACTACCTAAAGTCCAGCTTCTCCAAGACTGACTCCATCACCACAGGCACCGTGTCTTCTGTAAAGTAAGTCTGTTCAAATGTTTAATGATCATATGAATCCATAATTCATGCACAGTGAAATCTCTGCGAAGGCTATTCAATACGTCTGTCATTTAATGTCCTTTATATATATATATCTGCTTTAGAACACTAAAAGAAATGAATAATGATTCATGAGAATGCATAAATCCTTTCACCTTTACTTTAGTTTTGTTAAAAAGAAAAGACAGAGTCTATGCTGCGGAAAACAAGTTTAAAAATTCTATTACCAAAAATGGCCTTGGTTCTCACAGAAGAACTAACTGTATGAAAAAACATTTAACTTTCTACATTTCAACTCTGCTGGACTGGACAAAAGAACGCTACCATAGTATTTTACATTTTTGCTGTGACTAAACTTTCCAGTAAATATTCAGTCAGTCGCTCATGAATTAAACAAATTTGGAACGTGGGAGAAAACCTTTCATTCAACAGTTTTAGGTAAGGAGTTACTGTGTGACACACTATGATAGTAGTTTGAGCCAAAACATAACACATCTTTTCTGCATCAACCAATAAATCACACAGCTTGTCATTAAATTTCCAAATTAAAGTTTATGAGTGCATAGAAAAGACCCCAAGTTCCAGTGGAACACCTCGGAGCTAATGTGAGGCTCACATACACTTAACTGCTACTGTGAGTCAGTTAGCCTAACGCAAAGGTAATTGCTACCTCTATAGCAGCCAACAGGAATGTAGTGTGAAATAGCGCATAGCGCCCAATAGATCCACGACATGATGAGTTGAGAAGGCACATGAAGTGTTTACTCGCTGTAGCACTCCATGGAGACTGATTTAGCACAGTCATCGCAAAGTGACTGACTTCTCTCGTTTGGCTAGGGTGTAACAACTCTCCCTTTAATTACTTTGGAGCCATGACTAACCTCCCGGCGAGTCACAGGGGCCGACTCTACACTGCCTGACGAGTGCACTTTAAAGGAAGCAAACGAGGGGTTTGGGGAACTAGCCTACAGTCCTGTGCACTACCAGTAGGAAACAGCTCCCAGAGTCTGTTTGATTGGTTTTGACCTTGTCTCTAGTTAGTCATGACCTATCAAAGACACTGTTCAAGAGCCCTCAGGCACCTCTCCCTCAGGCTTTGGCCTTTGTCAGGTTGGGGCTCTAGGAAGCTACAAGCTTTGGTAACTGACCCAGTCTGGTGCTTATATAGAGGAATGAGAGGGGGTCCTGGGGAGACTGTCTGGCAGCGTATCCTCCCCTCTGGGTCAGATTAACCTCAGGTCATCCCCTGTGTGGAGCCGCTCACATGTAGCTCAATGCTTTTTTTAAAAAGACCAACAGAACCAGTTGTTTCATCCTACACACAGTACAGCTATCAGCCTCATGGAGAAAATCACATCACAGGTGACAAAAGTACACTGGGTTCCTCTGTGGCCCCTCTGTGAGGTGATAAATTCCTCTGGAGTTCCTGTTTTGAAGCAAATCGGACTGAGTAGACACTGGTAATACACCACTGAGCTTCATCTAGATGCATTTAAAGCTGCTGTGTTGTCTTACTTGTTTTATTATAATGAGTCCAGACTGATCGGAGACAACTTGACATCAGTATCAGAGCCAAGGTCCTTGGAGGGTTTCAGAAAAGACCTTTTCAGAGCTTTTCTTCCTCATCCCCATTATCCCGTTTTGCATATGAGCACTCTCCAAAATACTGCATAAAAGATTAATGTCCCTTTGCTCCTGCGTTTTACCTCTCATTGGGAGACTATGCATCAAAGTGTGCGCCTTCCATCCCTGATTCATAAGGCACATGAAAATGCTGTTATGCTGCAAGAAAATGTATATTGATAGTCCGAAGTTTGGGAGCGGCTTGTAAGTAAATATTGTGTCAGTTTGTTTTTATTAACAACAGGCAGCCCAACCTCACCATTAATCCTGTCTCTTTTGTGTTTGCTGTTGCATTAGGAATGGCCTGCCACCAGATAAACCCGCCAGCGACGACGTCAACCTCTACCAGAAATATATTGCCAGGTATGCAAATCCCTCAATGAGCGGCACGGGTGAAAAAATATACTCAAAACAGAGATGAGCCTTTTTCCAATCCACTGATGGTGTGTTTTATTCTGGGACTCGTGTGCCGTAAATTGATTGAGAAAAAGACTTCAGGTTATGTGTTTAAAGGAAGTAGAAGGAAGAGGGATAATGAAAATAAAGTGGTTTGATGGAAGCTTACTGTAACTGGTTGGAAAGAAAGGCTCATGGTGTGCATAGCAGTGAAACATTAGAGGGAACATAATTCTATCCAAGTCTGTAGTGCTCACTATGACTGACACAGAGAGGATATGAGCTGAGGCTGAGGTCTTCTTGCACTCTGCCATTTATTGTTGAACACAACAGGAACTGACTGATCTAAAAAGTCAGTCATTCACACCAACAGAGACAAAAACATCAGACGAGGGGAGGTATCTTGTGTTTCAATGGACACAGAACAATGTAGCCCATTCTGGATTCATTTTGAGCCGACACTAGAAAGGTGATTATCACTTGTTTGTTTATTCCATTTAAAAAGAGAGAAAAACAGCATTTGAAAAGCCAAAGTGGCTTTGGCGTTAATGATTACTTCTCCAAGCCATAACATGAAGGGCACAAATCAAAGCCTTGGCACTGACAGACACACACACACACACACACGTACACACACACGTCCTTTTCTGCACACACATACACACACAAAACCCCTTCCTTGGACTGATTACATTTTGCAAGAAGATTTAATTAAGGAATTTTTAATGAGGCTTCTGCTGGCACTGCCAAGAACTGTTTTGATATTTGCGCTGCATAATGCATAAAATTTGTCTAAACATCTCGGCAGTTGATGCACGGGGAGGCTGCAGATAAGCCCAGATACAGTTTCAATTTCCGTGTTGGGGTTGGAAAAAAAAGAGAAAGGATAGAAGAGGAGGGAGGAAAAATGGAAAAGGAGGGCTCATAAAAAGGGCAAATGTAGCACTGAGAGGGGAGGTAGAAGCGGGGGAGGGTCCTCTTTTGAGCTTGGGCTAATGAGTGCACACTAATACTAAAAACCAGTGTTGTAAACGTGTTCATGGCAGTCTTTGTGAAAAGAAGGAAAAAAGTTCTTCATCTCTTCACAGTTTGATATTTTAAAGAGCTTCCTTTATAGTGTTTAGTTGCAGATTCACTCTTTAAATGCTTTCATGCACTCACTATTGCCTCGGCACTTTGATCTGTGTATCTCCATTGTAACTGGAGATGCACTGCAATCTCTGTATCGTGGCGATATTAATATTTAATCTGCTGCTGAATAGCAGCGGCCCATTAGGCCCCCTGACGCGGCAAGTGGGAATTGTCCAGAGGCAAAGTGATACAGCTGGGCAATGAGCAGAGGGGTGGGCCATAGTCTCAGGGGGATGGGGGGCTTTGTGTGTTCATAAGTGTAAATGTGTGTGCGTGTGTATGTATGGGAAAGAAGGGTATAGAAATCATTAATGGTGGGGACATGTTTAGACTTCATTGTGTGCACACAGGTAGTTCAAGTCCTGGTTTTGTCTTTCCTAAAAGAGCCATCAAACCTTCCCTAAACCCCCTCTACCACCATCCCCATTTTCCAGACACACTCACACACACACACACACACACACACACACACACACACACACACACACACACACACACACACACACACACACACACACACACACACAGCCAACTTAAAAAGAGTAGTGGATATGCCGTTCAATTAGCTTAATGAACTCAGCAAAGTGATCTGTAAATGCAGCTCTGGGATAATCCTAACAAGGAAAAAAACGAAAGAGAGATGGAAAAAATATTACTTAGCCCCCTTTTCCCCCTCTCCTCTGCACTAGCAGATGGAGCTCTTGGCAGCAGCAGTGCAAATGTTTATTTGTGTGTTTTCACTGGTAATTGGAGGATTTTAACAGTCATCATCGTCAGACTTATAATCACCACCGTAAAAGTGGCTGTACTGTTGCGAGCAGCGTGCCTTTTTTTTCGGTACACGAGTCAGACCTTCGTCTTTTTTGTACTACAGATGAGAGTGAAAGAATTAGTGGTGAAAAGTAGACAGAGCTGTTCATACCTCTCACGATACCTGACCCTACTCCTCACAAAGGATAAAACTGTGGTTAACCTGAAAGAACTGTGCATTGATTTGACAAGGGTTTTCACAGCATTTAGAAATAAAGTAGTCATCGGGTTCCTGATGCCTGAGTGGGTGTGTGTATGCGTGTCAAGGGAAAGGGTTTCAGTGTAATAAGTGTCTCTTACGGCTGCTTTGGAAATAAATGGAGCTAATTTGGCTGAAATTGGTGTGACAGACGGGTAAATTGTTGCAGCAGTGTGGAAAGCAGAAGCCAGTTTGAAGGTGTTACGTTGAAGGTGAGACGCGCATAATGCCTTTGAAAACTCCTTCACCTGTTTTATTTTGGCTGTTCCCTGTATTTCAAATAATTTTCCTCACTAATCATTCTTGATTTGCTGCTGATTACTTTTGAGTCACACTGTCGTCTTCCCGAGTGGCTTTATCCCTGAGCTTTTTCATCCCTCTGACTGCTCTTTGTGTGATAAGCTCTGATGCATTCCCAGGTTTTGAACCAGTCCTGACTCCTTTTACTTATACCATTAGGAGCTGCTGATACTGTGTTTAATCATCACACTGTGTCCTGTAACTTGGTTTTTCAGGTTTTCTGGGAGTCAACACTGTGGACACGTGCACTGTGCATACCAGTACAGAGAGCATTACCACTGCATGGACCCTGAGTGTAACTACCAGGTGAGCGTGAGTACTTCATCAATTTTTGAGCACCTACAAAATACCCATCAACAAATTCTACAGCATGCTGCAAATGTCCGTATAACCTTCATGTATCACAGTTCAGATTTTGACGAAGACTAAGGTACTTGTGTTTGAGGTGGCAGTCAATAAGGTTGGATGGTATTTTTGAACAAAGTTAAATACATACATCCTTTATCCTGTCCTAAAAAAACAGGGCATGTATACCTTTTCGTCAGTTAATTCATTATAGACAAACAGAATCATGTGTTTTCTTTTCATTTTTAGTCACACCCAGCCAAAGTCTACTTAAATGAAAAGTTTGTTTGCCCTAATAGGCAGTGTGTGTTTACATTGGTACAGTTCGCAGGCGTCTTCCAGGCACAGTCGGTCTTTGATGGTTGGCCTTTAATCACGAGGGTTAATTGTAAATATGTTTGAAATATGGCTCTTTTTTATCTATGTGCTCCTTTTTTCCTAGAGACATCTGCCACTGACTGGGGGCCTGCCTTTAATCCCCTTTCACGTTATTAATCTTATCCTGGTCCCGGGAGTTGTCATGTGTGGCACAGGAAAGAGAAAAAACACAGAGCAGATCATAACACAGGCCTCGTGTTTGCCGTAGCATATGGCCTGAGAGAGTTAGACAAACACAGCAAGATTTGTCAAAGATGTCAAAAATCCATGCGAGGCTAGAGCTGTGTGTGTTTTCCTTCCTTTCTCAACAATTTTCTGAATTAAGTCATCTTGAGCTGTAATCTCCTTTGTCTGCTCCTGATCAAGAGAGATTACCGCTCGATAAATATTGTTTATCTGGTGAAAAGCATTACAGATCCAGGCTTTTATTTTCTGCATGAATCACACTTCACAGTCTGATGAGACACATTCTTGGAGGAATACAAAGGAAAATCATTTCATGTCATTATTTAGAGTGTTAGTTCAGGTTATCACGGCAATTTCCACGGTCAGGTCCCCATTTCTCTGTTGATTTTGTGTTGCGTGGAAACACAGATATGCTTTGGGGCCAGCTCTCTGAGATGTCAATACCCTGAAAAAAAACAAGCAGGCAGTGATGAGCAGCCCCTTTCGAAGCGATAACTCATGAAATGTTACATGACACACTCTCCTGGAATATTATCCCACTGCCAGCCTCCGGGCGATTGGCTGAGTCTTAACATTCTCCTTTCATGGACTTGTACATGAGGGAGAGTGTGCATCTTGCCACACTGGTGGGAATCCTAAAATAAATGTAGCAAGTGGCTCCCAACCTTCATCACCACTCAACTGAAAATGAGATCTTTTTCCCAGTCAGCTCTCTCCATGGCCTATTTTGGACCACTTGATGGATTGAATGTACCACGACCACAGTTCAACTTATCTTCCGGTCATCATTAACAACTAGATGCCAGGAAGCACAAAGGCTCAGAGCTGATTATTTTTTTTTTTTAGTAGAAATACTCAAAAACATGTATGAAGTAGATTAAAAACATCTTTTTCTCTACAGCAGTCAAACATCTCAGAAGTATGCTATGGGAAACAGGCCAAGAGACAGAGAATGAACAGCTGTGTGAGATCTTAGTGTTTTACTTGTGCGCGAGTGGAACACATGACACAAAGCAATTACCCTACTTTGTACAGCAATTAGTCGCTTTTTAGAATAGCTCTTTCTGATGTTTTTCCCTCAACTGGAGATAAATATGGATTGAAGGCAGAACTGTCTCATTGATTTGCGCTTCTCCTGTTACAGCTTCAGTAACATCAGCTTAAGCCCAATTACAGCAGATTTGGTTTCTGCAGGGCTCTGCGGAGTGACTTCTCTGTTTTCTGTTCCTGATCCTGGGTGTGGGAGGCATTTTTTTCTGTCTTTATTTATTTTATTATTTTGTAATTTAAGAAGGCGGGTCTCTTAGCATATTCACTCATTATTACAGGCTACGCGTTCACCAAAAGCGAGTGTTAACACTTTAATTAAAAACGGAATCATATCGCAGTGAATTGAAAGGGAAAGCGTTTTTTGGTTGGCTTGTTTGTTTGTTTGTTTGTTTCCGTTGTCTTTCTGTTTTCCCCTGTGCATGTCTGAGAAACCATCTGCATGGAACATAATTTTTCCAGAGCCAGAAACATCAGAACTGTGATCTTGCATGTCAATTGATTTGTCTTAATTAAAAAAATACATTATGGTGAAAGGGAAAAAATAATGTAGAGACAGTGGGTGTGTGGGGAGTGTACTTGATGTTCCATGTGGAAGCCTTTCCTCAGAAAGTCCCAGAGCCTTCAGTGCTGCATTTGGATAGGACATAACTTGAAGATATGCAAAGTAAATCAATAACCACAGAACGCGCCATCTTTAAAGACATCCCGGCCCTCTCCATTGCAGCGTCTACAGCCCTCCCCAACTGCCAATTGGCTCCTGCATGTTGCAGCTGCTGCTTCCACAGAGATAAAGTGACTTGTTGCTGATTCTGTGACTGGTTTAAATAAACACCAACCTGTTGCCGTACATTTTTCCCCCTCCCCTTTTGCAGAGGTTTACCAGTAAGCAGGATGTAATCAGGCACTACAACATGCACAAGAAGAGGGACAACTCTCTGCAGCATGGCTTCATGCGCTTCAGCCCTCTGGACGACTGCAGTGTCTACTATCATGGCTGCCACCTCAATGGGAAAAGCACCCATTACCACTGCATGCAGGTACACCACGCAGACTCACACCTCCTCATCCACCTACACGTGTATCCACAATAAACCCACAAAAACACACACAGTAGACATGTATGCACATGAATGCACACAGATGGGAACAGAAAAACATCTTTGAGTGCTTAAGCATTACATACAGTACAAATAAGCCACAGCTCACTTATGTTGGTAAGACAATGTGAAATGTAATGCTGTGGATAAATGCATAATTCATCATTCAATTTGCATTCTAGAGCCACCAAACAAACAAAGTCGATAGAGAACCAGATCACAGAAAATCTAAATAGATCCTTTCGCTTGGTCTTTATCCAAAAGAACCATTTTCATTATACATCAAAATAAATTCAAAACTAGACAAAGTGTGTGAAAATGAGGTTATAAGCATCGTTTTAGAGACAGTCCTCAGATCTAATATGAGTCATGGGACGTGTGGGGTTTTACTATCACAGTTTACCTTCGTGTGTAAAACAGAGTTAGAGTGCTCCCCTCACCTATTCTCTTTCTCACTCCTTAATTGGTGTGGATAAAATTCTGTTGGGTGTTTATATAAACTTCACATTTTTCATCTTTTAGTACCAAGCAACCAGTTCAAGATTACTCTCCCGGCAGGATTTGTTTAATTTTTTTTACATCTGTTTATTTTCAATGTGTCATTGCAAGGAGAGCTTCTTCACAGGCAGGGCAGCCGCGCAGCCGAGGATGATTTAAGATAGATTCTTTTTTAAACCTCTCTAACTGTGTCATTGTTATTAGAATATTTCAGCCCTTGTTTTAACAGTCCCTGAGATTCTGCAGATGTTGGCATCGGGCTCTCTTGATTTAGGAGGAAAAAAAACAGAGTGGCATTTTTTTCATTGTTTGACTCAATATGGAGAAGTTGCCCGGTTTGTACCGGTGAAAAGTACCAGGCATGATATACAAGTGCTACTTTTAATTCAAACAATACCTGTTTTTTCTCTCGGTTGGCTCTGAGTACCAGAACATTTTTAAACTAAAGACCAAGACAGGCACATCACGTCATCAACTTTCCTCAGCCCCCCATCTTTAAAATTTGATGCAAGGTATACATATTAGTTTCTGGTGGCTGCGGTGTCACATTCTAAGTTTGTATTTCATTTTCTATGTGGCAGCTTTGTCAGGAAGGTACTGTAGTTTCAGTTGCCTGCTGAGACCCCCGCCTTAGTCACTTTAGTTTCATATTGTCGCAATCAGAATCAGACTGTTTTTAGTTGACAGGTTTGTCTTGGAACTTTCTCTCATCTCTGGTGTGAATTAACACAAATAAATCATGAATGCTAGAAACAAACAACCTTCCTTTACCCATTATTAGGCTGCTAGCATTTTCTATAGTTCTCATGTTTCATTTGTCACATCTCCTTTTTTTGAAGTTGCTTTCTTTTCAAACCTGCCTTGCATACTCATGCCTCGTGTCTGATGTGAACTGGGGTCTTATTTTTGATTGTCATGCTTTTTTGTGCTCTTCAGGTGGGCTGCAGCAAGGTGTACACCAGCACCTCCGATGTCATGACCCATGAAAACTTCCATAAAAAGAATGCCCAGCTGATCAATGATGGCTTCCAGAGATTTCGTGCCACTGAGGACTGTGGCACAGTGGGGTGTCAGTTCTACGGGCAGAAGACTACACACTTTCACTGCAGGTGAATGGGCCTGATGGGGTTGATTTTCCTTTACATTATTACCATCTATCGTTACAGTATTTTTTTAAATGATTATTTTGATCATTTTGAAAAATACATTCAATTTGATAATTTTACATGAAGCCCTTGGCTTGAAGAGCATAAATCACAAATCTTTTAACAGTAGATTTAGAGGATCACTTGGTTAATTCATCAAACTCCCTCCCTGGAGTGTATCCCCCTAGTATAGGCTGCAGGTAGTGACGTATCAATGAGCTGCTGCTGCTGTGTTACGGAGCTGGCTCAGCTATCATTCTTTCATTGCCAATCCTTACTGCACCGAAGTACTGAAGTGGCTTCGTAACAGAGCAACAAAGCTTATTATATTTTCCTTTTATTTTCTACTCTTCTTTTCAGGCGCCCTGGCTGCACATTCACCTTCAAGAACAAGTGTGACATTGAGAAGCACAAGAGCTACCACATCAAGGATGATGCCTACGCCAAAGATGGCTTCAAGAAGTTTTATAAGTATGAGGAGTGCAAGTATGAAGGCTGTGTGTACAGCAAAGCCACCAACCACTTCCATTGCATCCGCTCTGGCTGTGGCTTCACTTTCACCTCCACCAGTCAGATGACCTCCCACAAACGCAAACATGAGCGCCGTCACATCCGCTCCTCTGGTGTCATGGGCCTCCCTTCCTCCTTTCTGGCGCCGAAGGATGAGCCAGAGGAATCAAGCAACGATGACCTGATGGACTTCTCAGCCATTAGTAGCAAGAACTCCAGCCTGAGTGCCTCGCCGACCACCCAGCAATCCACCACTGTACCACATCTATTGGCCACACCCACCACTGCAGTCTCCTCCTCCCCTACATCAGGCCACACCCTCAAACCTGCCCCCTCGCTGCCTAGCGCAGGCCAGCGTATGTCCAACCTGCTGTCCCAAGCCCTGCCCAGCAACATGCCGGTGGCCCTCGCTCTAACCAACAGTGGACTGGCCGCCTCCAACCCATTCTTCCCCCTCATGCCCCGGCTGCCTCTACAACCACCTCCGCCAGCCGCAAGCCTGATTTCAACTGCCTCCTCTGGGTCCCACTCCATGCCCACAGACTCCCTGACACAAGGGTGCTCCACAGCAGGAGCAGACGGTGCCATGGCATCTACCCCAACCTCCTTTGCTACCGCTTCCATCATGGAGAAGATCTCTGCAAGCAAAGGCCTGATATCACCCATGATGGCCAGACTGGCAGCTGCTGCCCTGAAGCCCTCCCACAACCCAGACATAGGTCAGTCACTTCACATTTAAGATTTAACTTTCAACAGAATTCAGATTAATAATTCTTAAAAAATTGAACTTTTAAACATTTGATCAAACTGGAAGTAAAGATGAGCTTTTCTTTGTTGCCCCACTTAGAAACAGGAATACTGACATTTTGGACAAGCAATAACCCTTTGAGTAAAGTCAGCATACAGAAAGAGTATAGTGCATGTATTCCAAAAGCCACATCCTTTTTTTTTTTGTCGGTGAGGACTTCACTCAGCAACAGTCAGAGAGGAGTGAGTGCACTCAGAGGTCATTTCTATCACTATCCCACAGTGGAGAAAAAGCCAGAAAAAACGGCTGCTTTCAGGCTTTAAGGGACATACCGGAGGCATGGTCCTCTGCTCTCGGCTTGTTATTGTGTTGATCGTTTGTTAGATACCCACAATCCATTTGGAGATAAATGCGCTGACAGGGGAGAGTAGAGCCTGTAAAAGTCTCTTATGATGTTCAGAGTGGGGGCTCCTGGGGCTTGTGTCGAACATGTTTCCTCATCATTGGTCTCTTATCTATGTCTGCGCCCGTTCCAAGCAAATGGAGGTGGAATGAAATTAAGTTCAGAAATTGCGAGAACAAAAAAAAAAAAGTTTTTTTCCCCTTTTCTGTATCCGCTATGCAAACTGATAAAACAACAGGAATCGCTCAGGCAGAAATGACTCAATGCACCCGAGCTGAGGAAGTTTTTTTTTATTCACTGATACAAGAACTCTGACACACTTGCATGCATCAGTAAAGACACAATTTTTGACTTTCTCGAAACCTTCTGTTTGCACCAAAACATGTCAATATCTATTTAGCATAAACACAATTCACATAAATTTTGGAGGTAATTGCCTTGTCTTTGTTTATCATACGACTCTAAACAAAGCTCCTGGAATTGAAAATGAAGTTAAAGCATTAAATTGATAATGCACTGCAGAGCACAGTTTTGCATGCAGTAACAGAGGGGCCTCCTGTGCTGAGCCTGAGCAGGTGGGGTGCAGATTGTAAATGGGGGAGCATCTCCGGATGTTGGGACTGGGAAGGATTACAATTCCTAGTGGTGTTCCTGGAGCAGGACAGGCCCTGGGAGAGAGCTGGGGCAGCTGCTCCAGGGAGCTGAGCTGAGCGCAGGCTGTCAGGCTGAGCTCCACCTCTGGGCTTCCAGCAGGTAGTCTGAACACTGGGAAGGCCCCCACTGAGGGTGGGGCCTCTACAGATGGTGCCTTCTTCACCACCCCTCCTCTTGTCTCACAGAGAGGCTGAATTTCAGATCTCTCTGCTGTATAACAAAGCTGGTTTCAAATAAACCTCTCCACCTCAAAACTAAAGCCAGAACATAAAGTTCAGTGCACTTGTAGCTGTAGTTTTGTTTCTCTTATTTGTTTCATGAAATGTGTGAACAGGACATTTGGGGCTAAATTGAGGAGGAAGTGGTTTGTGCTTCTCTATCAAAAAGGTGTGAGAAAAGTTTCTGTGTTTGTGGCTATTTTTCACACAGTAATTTTTTCACAGGGTTGTGAAACTTCACCTCTATTGAGGTGAATTTTGCATTTTTCCTGTTTCTGCTTTCTGTATATTCTCAGTAGTAGTTCTTTTCATTATTATTACAAGTGTTCCGCTCTAATTTACCCCTAAGTGTTTTTGCAGAGATTCAAGCATCTGAAGGGTTTACTAATTAGACACACAGTACAAATGATCTTTCACTAGCTCTGTATCTTATCCAGGGTAATTACACGGTGATACATTATTCCTGGATAATTTCCAGAAATAAGCTGCTTTGAGTCAAAGCCATTTGTTCTCCCTCTTTTGGAAGTGAATAGAAAAGAAATCACTTCATGGTGTTCAAGAAAATGAGAGACTTTTGTCTTTAAATCAACCTGAAATCATCTGCTTATCATTTTATGCTGTAAAGGAATGTTTTAATTCTACCGGTGATCATGTGTAGATCACAGAGCAAGTAGCAACTCATGATATAATGTGCTTTCATTTGGTCTTAGACTTGATTTAATTGTCAATGACAAGGGAGGATCTGTCTGGCTAGTTAATTTTGGGTGTACTCACATGAAGTTGGGGGAGGGAGAGAGTGCTGGATAGAGACTTGGTAAGCATTCATTGACCTCAAAGCTCAAACCAGACGCAAAATTGTTTGACTGCTGTTTTGTTTTAGCCCCACCCCAACCCCACCTCCAGCCCTTCCAACCTCAGCCTTTGTCAAACTGAACTGACACTGACACTGACACTTCCCCATCTCTTAGCTTTCAGCTGACAAGGCCCAGGACTGGCTTTTCTACTCCTATTCTCTTTGATATGTCTTAGGGTTATCTTGGAGCAGGGGGGAACTCTGCTCAGTTTTCCCCTTACATAGGCTGGCCTTGTTTTCTCTGGAGCAAGAAAAAGGAGAGAGGCCTTACCAGGCTGAGGGCCAAGGGCATACACTTGGTTGACCATGACCTTGCCTGTCACTATCCCTCAGCAGCAGCCACCTAAACAACAGATTCCTCACCAAACAGATCAGGGCTGCTGATGCTCTCCAGCCTCACGGCATCCTAGAGGCTACACCAGGGTCACCCCTCCTATTTTTTTAAATAAAACAGCACTTATTGTCTGACAAAAGCCCGGCTTTCTCTTTGTAGCCCCAGGACAAATTAATATTTAATCCCTGGGGGATTGGGGGATGGGGCAGAATTCACCTTCCTGTCAGCATTTTTACCCCAAGTCATCCCCTGGTCTTTATTTATCTCATTTCAATCCTGCTGTCCTCACACACAGCATCCACTGAATACCTATTTGGAGGAGAATGTGATCGAGAGGTCACGCTATTTGAACCAATCTGATTGGCTGTCAGCTCCAATCTGACCGACATAGCACCCCTGTTCCTTGTGGGTACGCTCAGTGGCACTGGCTGCCGTCCGTTGTCAGGCCAACAAGGAGCCTTGGAAGGTGGGAAGGGAGGGGGGTGGCCAATCTAAGACTGCCACTTTCCCTCAGCATTAGCATCTCACTTAATGACCAGTTAAGAGGCAGCCTGGCAAATGAGTTGTGACAAGTGCTGCAGAAAAAGGAGTCTTTTTCCCTCATATCTCCCGCCTCTCAATCACCATTTAAAAGGTTTGACGGCCTGACATAATTTCGCAATAATTATCACTCCGAGTATTCTTTTCGGGCCGGGACAGAAGTCAGATTGGATCTCGTCATAGCATAATAATGCTGACCAACAATAACTTTGTTGTCTCTTCTCTCCTCTGCTTCTTGATCCTCAGGGAATGGGAAGTTGGCTTCAGCCAGCCAGTTCAATCTGGTTCAAGTGAAGCAAGAGCCTGTGGATACCAACTCTGGGGCCTCCCAAGACTCCACACAGGAACACAGCCTTGACCTGAGCAAAAAGGATCACAGGTACAGAGCTGCACGGCACAAAGGGGGGTACTGCTGTGCTAAAATTATCCATGTCAAATTCATCAAGTACATTCATTTCAATTAACAAGAAAATATTTCTCTCACTGACAGTGGACAGACAAATTAATACTAGCAATTATTAATTTAAAAAATACCTTGTTCTTAGGCATCTGTGTACAACTAGAAAACCCACAACATATTTCTCCTTTTTGGAGCACCAAGGATGTTTATATAAACCTGCATCTCTAATCATCCCTCCAACTCACAGTAGATCTTATTTCTTAAGAAGACAGCATTTTTCTTCTTCATTATACAGGCACACCTTGTGTGATAAATAGTAATATTTACTGTTCTCATGCAAATCTTGACTAAACATTGTTCATTTTCCTTGTTCCAGTAATGAATCAAACGGACACCTTGTACCAGGGAATACATCTCTTTTATCCTCGCTTATGAATAAGGTAAGATCCATCCATCAAACGCCTTTCATCCAAAGACAAATTAGCGGGACACGGAGGGGCCTGTTTGTTTTTTAATGTTTCACCGCTAATAAGATGAGTTTGTATCATTTAAATTTTCCAGCCATTTTTCATACAGTGTAATTTTCACCGCACCTCTCACAAATTAATATAATGAAGCAGTAGCTGGGTGCCATGCCAGATATATAGAGATGTTTGTTTTTTGATGAGCTGTTTTGAACTCGCCGTCCATTTTTTCTCCCCCTTTATACTTTTTCTTCCCCTGCCTCGCTCCACGGTTATTTATAGAGTTTGTAAATTATTTGATTAAAAAGTCAGAGGGGGAAAAAACAGGAAGGCGCTACCCTCATTTTTTACCAAGTCTAAATGGTAGCGTATGAAAATTTAAACGAGTATTTATTTTTGTGAAGATTAAAATGGACATTGTCCTTATCATAAATCTTGTCTGATTGATACAAATATGCCAGGTGGTTTCCATCACACTGATGATGTAATGGCACACAAGCCTCCATTTTTTTCTTACCCATGCCAACTTATCAAGACCTCCTCTCTCCCCTCCCTACACATGTCGTCTTTTTAAACTTTCCCCAGGAGAGCTTTTCTTGACTGATGCTCTTCTTATAGCGGTCATAAAAGCCAGACAGTGAGGGAGCACGCAGACCTGTTGTCCAACAGCTCCTTGTGTCATGTCAGCTTTTGGGGCTTTGAGTCTAGCCACCATTTCACACAAAAGGGTTAACAGTCTCTCCCGGAGGATGCTTGGCAAACATGCTTGGCCTGCTCTCAAGCAAAATCCTGGATGTTTGTAAATCTGGCAGCACTTTATTGCTTTGCCAAATGTTTGTGTGTGTGTATGATTTAACTCTCACACTTTCTCTAACAAATGCAACTGCCCAGCCTACGTATGCTCAGCTAACGCAGCAGCTGGTTGTTTATCTCCGTGTCTCTTTGTAGATGTCACAGGTGAACCCTGCCCTGTTCAACACCATGAACCAAAAGATGGAGCTGGAGGCGAGCCAGGTCAGCAGCACCCCAGAGGCTGCACATTATCTGAACAGCGTGCTGAAGAGGCCCATGGCAGAAAAACCCACTGAGATCTGGAGGAAATACCTCCGCAGGTACAAAGTGTAAAGATGATCAGAAAGCTGCTGTAGTTTCAGCCGCTTTGTTATGTGTGACGGGTTGACTTCAGTCATGGGAAAACAGAGTAATCAAATGTAGCTGGAAGGCCTTTTTTCTGTGAATACTACAAAGTGCATGAAGTCTATCTGGAAACCCCCAGAGACATAATAAATTTGGTTTTACGAGAACTTTTAAAATGACTATCAGACCTAAAACATTTACCATCAGATAAGATCATCGACCAGTTATCCTGTTATGTGCTGAATTTTTCAGAAAGCAGTGCATTAACATTCTGCTTTTATTTCCTATGCCAGATTTGACACAGATGACTTCTGTGAGGCTCAGTGTGACTTCCTTCAGAAAGTGCATTTTCACTGCTTGGTAGAGGACTGTGGTGCACTCTTCAGTACTGTGGATGGGGCCATCAAACATGCCAAGTGAGTTTCACTGTGTTACCTTAAAGTTAACCTTCCTCCCGGGTTAGCTTTTACCACACACCCACTATGCTAAGGGTCAGTTTCGATCTGTGTCTTAAATCAGCTGTAAACTACACTCAAAACAATTCCCTATCATCCAATTTGGTTCTCATCTCTAGGTTACCTTGCTAGGCTTCATTATCCATGAAAATATTGCTGATAATATTTTTTGTTGTGGGCCTCTGGGCCTTTCTTTGTCAGTATACCCACAAACATCTCTACTAAATTGATCTCATACGTCTGGACATGCCTGACATTGTTTTTATTTGTGCAGGGAAAAAGACAGCAAAATAAGAATTTCCTAAATCTGACATGATTGGAAGAGGATCTGACTGTCAGTGTGGTGCCTGACAGTTCACTTATGATTTTTGTTTTTGCTCCTATCATTTGATATTGATCTAACCGGGTCAACAGTGACCCTAACACAACAAGTGCCATAATTTTAATAAGAGCATTTTATAATTTATTTTATATAATTTTTTATTTTTATTTTGTTGAGATAGAGGCTCCTGACAAAGTCAAAAAGTCTTGATGCAAAAAAGCTAATTTATGTGGTTCTTTTAAGAAATTAAAAACAAAAACGGGTCGGTGCAGACCCTAACACAGAAGGAGGGATAAAATAATTATAAGAAAAGTTCCCCTTCCACTTATTTTGCCCTTTGCTTTGCTGATTAATCTAAAAGTGTGTCTCCATCTGATTTTTTAGTTTCCACCTCCGAGCCACCTTGAAAGTCAAGTCAGAGCCTCAGTTCGGTGAGGGCAAGGACAACAGTGAGGGAGCACAGCTGCAGCCTGCTGCCCCTGTCTCGATTGCCAACAATACTTCTGTGGATGCTGCGCACCTCACCTCTTCTGGTGGCTACAGCTCTCCTCCTCCCTCCCTCCTGGCCTGGAAGCAGCTGACTGGCAGCATCCCTCAGATGCCAGCCTCGATGCCCAACCTACCAGCTAACTCCCCTTTAGCCACCACTTCCCTAGAGAATGCAAAGCCACAAGTCAAACCTGGTTTCCTGCAATTCCAGGAAAAGTAGGTGGACATATATTTGTATAGAATAACTTTATTTTACGGTATGCTGAGGTCTCAGAGTCTAATTGAGCCGTATCAATACAATAATGATTCCTGTTTTTATTTATGCAGTGATCCCTGTTTGGCTACTGACTGTAAGTACTCAAACAAGTTCCACTTTCACTGCTTGTTTGGGAATTGCAAGTATGTGTGCAAGACATCTGGCAAGGCCGAGTCCCACTGTTTGGACCACATCAACCCCAACAACAATCTGGTCAATGTCCGTGACCAGTTTTCCTACTACTCTCTCCAGTGTCTGTGTCCCAACCAGGTGAGTGTGGCTTTAGAACTGAGCCAGGAGCTGAATCACCAACTGTCATCCTGCAGAGTTTTCTAAGCATGAAGTATGCTATCTATTAGACCAGTGTTTGAGGTTATTTGACTCAAGGCTTTCACAACCGCTGCTCCCCATCTTCCATCTCTGCTGAAAAAGACAGTTGACTCACCCCAGTAATGCCTGTTTATATGTCAATGATGTCATTTTGACTGCCGCATTCTCCTCTCAGAAAAGGCCAATTTAGCTGATATTACCCAATAAATCATTGTCACTCGCACAGTAAACAAGGCTGTCTGGAATAGGGCAAAAATCAGGGGAATGCTCCGCAAATGAAACCTAAATGGCAGCCCTTGCCTGCTCTCATGAGCCCGTATTTGGAAAACCGTTTAAATGAATTCATTAATGTGTTGAAAATCACCCCTCTCACAAAAAGTCCCCCTCGCTCTGCCTCCCCCTCCTTCTCCTCCTCCTCCCCTCACCCCGTAGTCTCTTCATTGCCTGAACAGAGCAGATCTTATTTTGCCCATTCCTTTGGGATCTGGGCCTCACAAACAGATGGTGGTGTAGACATGTTAGGAAGGAGGGTGTTTGTGGGAAGCCTGGAAATAAAAAGTCATCATACTTAAAAATGTGGGATGTTCCAGCTGAGCTGTTGATTATGTTTTTCGGGGAATTTGTGGGTAGTGTTCACTTTTGGTTTGCATGAAAGATTGGACGATCAACTTCACTCTCATCACATTTGACTTATGAAGCTGAACAATTTTGTGTTTCTTTTTGCAGCATTGTGAGTTCAGAATGAGGGGCCACTATCACTGTCTGCGGCCAGGCTGCTTCTTTGTCACTAACATCACCACCAAGCTGCCGTGGCACATCAAGAAGCACGAGAAGGCAGAGCGCCGCGCTGCCAATGGCTTCAAATACTTCACCAAGAGGGAGGAGTGTGGCAGGCTGGGTAAGAAAATAAAAAGTGATCTTATAAGTTTGGATTGCCTCCTGCTTTTTGACTTTTGTTTTCAGTACATCATTACATAAGCTGCTCATATCTACGCTCTAGCTCTTGATAATATTTTACCAGCAAAGATGTGCTAATGCGTGTTAAATTGTGAAAGATGTGGATTGATTTTTCTGTGGCCGTGTTTACAAAAGGACAGAGAACAGTGTTGGCAAACAGGGTGTAATGCTTTTTTGGTTGTTTAAGGGGCGTGAAAAAAGTCTGCCTCATAGGTTTTGCTGCTGTGTTTCGCTTATTCACAGTGGCATCTCAAGTCCCAGAGGTAGTCTTGCCAGTACTATATGAGCAATAACGTCAAAGGGGGCAATCACATCCAGGTTGTTTTCTTCTTCCTTTTGCCCCTGTCAGAAATGAGCAATTAGGTTTGTGTTTGTTAATTATCCGGCTTGTCTGGTTTAGCCTGTTTGTGTTCTGAAGCTGCGCCTCACAGCCACTGCTGCCATCACACAGAAATGAATTAAAAGTGATCTGTTTTTTTCAGGCGGTTACACAAGCTTTTCAAAACGCAGAAACAAAGCAAACAAAAACAGGCCCTAAACAGCTGTTTTTTGTCCCCAGCCTGATCTGCCAACTGTATTGTTTGGGCGCAGGGAAAAAAATAGAAAGGATTACCATCGCTTGCACTCCAGTCATAAAGAATTGATGGGTTGCCAGTATCCATGGCAGCGACATTAAACTGAACACTGCTGATGATGTTACCTGGTTTCTGTCTCACAAAAGGCCCGCCGTGTCGCGGGGGTTACTGTTATTTGCTCAACTTTGCGTGTTTAAAATGTTGTGTGTGCAAAAGCTATTTGATGACACAGACGTGTTGTGCTCTTAAACTGGGTGCCATGGTTACTGACATGCTAGCACCTGCCCAGCATGTTACTCTTTCAATTATTTCTGCCTGCTTTTATATAATGGTATTTGATTAACAGGCACAAAACAGAACATTCATTTAATTTGAAATCATAAAGCAATTAGAGCTAGACCTGTTAAAACACAAGAAAAGAAGAGAAGAATATGCAGTAGACAGCAGTACAATGGAGAACAAAAGGGAAAATGACAACAGAGATACTTTGAAAAATGAATTTAATATGGTAATAATTGTATATTTACTTTGGTTTGCAGGGGTGTGTGCATTATTGGCCCACAGAAAATGAGAATTTATTTATGTAAATTCCTAATTGAATAAAGCATGTCAGTGTAATAAAAGAGCTCCACAGGTTTAGTGCACAGAAGCCTTGACTTGCTCAGTGTGACACTGGAGTGATCTAATATTCCTCCTACATGTACACTCGGAAACACTTTGAAACCCGATCCCTCTTTTGTCACAGCCATATCATAAAATTAAGGAAAACTAAAAATATTTCAGTTTGTGTTTGATCTAATCTGTACACCCTCTCCCTGATGATATTGCCTTTAGTGGAGAAGCTGTTTTTCATATGTCTCTCGATGACTCACGGATAATTCAATCTGCAAAGGGAGAGTTTTACTGCAGCTTCTGGTTTTTCTTTGCGCAGGTTGTAAGTATAACCAAGTCAACAGCCACTTTCATTGCATCCGTGAGGGTTGCCAGTTCTCCTTCCTGCTGAAGCACCAGATGACCTCACATGCCCGCAAACACATGAGGCGGATGCTGGGAAAGAACTTCGACAGAGTCCCATCCCAGGTACAAACATTTGACACATGCCGTTCAGAAAATGGTAATTATCTGAAAATATGAGCTGCTCACCTCCAGGTGTTGAATAGTGATGAAGCCAAACACCACACACCCTTTTTTACGAGTCTAATGAGCTGTTTATGGTGCGTATATATTTTAGATCTACTTTCCCAGGCCTTTAGACTTATTGATTTGTTTTTTCTACTTCTCACTGTAAAAACTCTGACAATGTTAAAGAGAAAAAAAGGGCATGTAAATAGATTTGGTGAAAAATACAAAAAAAAGAAGACTTTTTACAAACAGTGCTCAAAGAATAGATGAAAATAATTTAAAACCAAATCAATCTTTAAGTTTATTGAAATTCCAAAAATTACTGATTACTGATTAAAATGTCCTTTTTTGTTTTAGTATTCACTGCTCAAATATAACATAGTTAAGTTTTGTCTTTTTATTTAGATTCTGGATATTTTTATTATGCTTCATTTTCTTTGTCTGAAGAGAAAAAGATTATTTGGTTTAAGTAAGGACAAAAAAAACAAAAAACATTGCACTCAACCCAAGGGTGAATCATGATCTCTTTTTGATGACGTTTATTTCAGGTGTTTTTTTAAAGAAACCGCATTGGTACTTCATGTACCTAACGTGAATGTAGACATGTGGATATTCTTGTTTTCTTCTCTTGTTTTGAAGCTTTATTCTTTCAGATTCCTTCCGTTGTCATCAGAAATAGTTGACTGTATGCCAAGAGCCAACACCTGCATTAATGACTACATTTATGCAAATACTTTAATACAAACATGCTTTTACAATGAGGGTCATCTGTTTCCAGGTGATGCCCCACGGTCAGAGGGCAGATGAGATGCAGCATGTGACCGGCATGATATCTGGGCACGTAGCAGCCCAGTCCGGCTTTTCCTCCAACATCATGGATGAGACTGATGATTACATGGACTACATGGGAGGAGGTGGCAGCCCCTTGGGCCTCTCTTCCGAGTCCTCCAACCAGGACCGGAGCTGCACTAGCACACCTGTAGGCCCTGATGGTTCCCCAGCAGGTGAGAGACCGTAAAGAGCCCCCTCCCCAAACACCTGACAGGTGTCTGAGTGTCAGCATGGAGGTCCCTACAATAGTTTCGTGAGGAGTGCAGTCTAAGTTATGTCACCCCTACATTCTGCATCCAACATCAAGCTTTACGCAGCCGAAACTGCATTACCCAAAAAAACAGCTACTTGTCATTTCCTCCATTATTCAATCAAGAACTTCATGATTACCTAGTTTGACACACAGTCAGAAGCATAATGACACATCAGTCATAATTTATGAGCCCGATGACAATGTTGTATTCTTATGTTCTGAGTCATAGATAACATATCTTGCAGTTTGCCTGGTCATCGTCATAAAACATCCATTTTGCACATCAGTACTTTGAGTTATTGCACTGTGTGTAGCTTATTACATTTGCCTTTGGCCAGAGATCATCCCTGTGGCTTGATGTCTACTTTAGTGCTTTAAGTGGGCTGAAATGTGGGACAAAAGAGGGCAGAGGAGAGTCAGCCTCTCTTCCCTCAAACCTGCTGAATTAAAGGGTTCCCCCCTTTGCTTTTTTCTAAATCTGAGCCTGTCTTTGATAATCACATTTCTCCACGTGTTGCCAATTTTATCCACTACTCTCATCACTGTTGTTTTGGCCGGTGTTTGGGTTACTTGTCTTGAATGGGCCTCATTTTGTATCATTCTCTTATCTTTTATCTTTCCCTTTTTACCTCCCATCCCTCTGTGTGTGTATGTGTGTGTGTGCGTGACTTGGCCCTTGTTTTTCGTGTGTGTACCTGGCTGTGTGTCTCCTTCCCCCTTGTCTGTCCTTCACCCTCTCTGGTCAACCTGTCTCTCCAGGACAAGGCTACCCCGCCACCACTTCTGCTCCTACCACCCCTGCTGACACTAGTGCTACCCAAAATGCACCTACTTCCTCCCCTCCTCCACCTCCTCCCCCACCTCCTCCCCCTCTTCCCTCCGCTCCTCAGCCTGGCCTCCAGTCCCAGGCCCCATCCCTCTCTCCCGCTCTCCTCCGACCTCCTCTCCCCTCACTCCCATACCTCCTCTCTCCATCCTGTCTGTCATACTCTCTGCTCAGCGCCTCTCTGGGAGCCACTCGGAGTGTTGTCATGCCAACCAACACACCAGCTTTCAGCCCCATCATTGCCACTCCGTCTCCGGTTAAAAATGACGTCCCTATAGTGCAGGATGCTGCAGGTACTTATCCCCGGCGCAAACCAACACTGCAGCTGTCACTCTCAATTGAGTCTTCTGCAGCATTAACTGTGTGATCTCTGCACTAATGTTGTGGAAAGATGAGAAAATATAAGTGGCTTTCCAGCATGCAAAAGACAACATGAATGTATTATTGATGAAATGTGCATTCTTACTGAGTGTTAAATTACTTCTCTTATACCTTAGTCTGTGTCAGGGTTAGTATTTTGGTATTCGGCACCTGTAGTAGAAATCCCGGGCCTTGTTTGGCTTCCATTAACAAGGCTACATCAGCAGCCTCTTATTTAATCACGCCTCAAGTTTTATCGAGGCCCACCGCTTCCTGTCTAGCAGAACAGGGATCACATCATTAGCAGTGACCCCAGGGTGTTGCAAAAGGTGGGTGCCCCTAATAAAACAACATGGAGATAAGAGGGTCGGTTAAGACCCACAGCTCCGCCTCTGTTTGGAGGCATGAGACACCCTGTAAAAGTGTCATGTTCCAAAGTCAATCTGTCATTTTCCCCCTCCTTTAATCATTCTTGGAATTAGGAAGAAAAAATTGTGGCTCTCTGTGCTTACTCAGCTGTGAACCACTTCTGGCTGAGTAAGGTTGCACATTAGAGTTTGAACCACGGCAGTCTGGTTCTCTTATTTGCTTGTAGTTTGTGGGTTTTACTTTGTGAACCAGCTGATTGTTTTTTAATGCACTTGCTCTCTCTCTTTCCTTTTCTTACAGGCAACACCATCTCCATTCCCACTGCCACTGGTTCAAAGAAGCGCTTCTGGATCATTGAAGATATGTCACCATACGGTAAACGCCGCAAGACTGCCTCATCCCGTAAGATGCTTGATGAGGGGATGATGCTGGAAGGCTTCAGGCGCTACGACCTGTACGAGAACTGCAAGGACTCTGGCTGCCAGTTTTCCCTCAAGGTGACCCACTACCACTGCACCCGTGAAAACTGTGGCTACAAGTTCTGCGGTCGCACCCACATGTACAAGCATGCGCAGCACCACGACCGTGTGGACAACCTGGTCCTGGATGACTTCAAGCGCTTCAAGTCCTCCCTCAGCTGCAACTTCTCTGACTGCCAGTTTTCAGGCAACAGCACCCACTTCCACTGCTTGCGCTGCGGCTTCCGCTGCACCGACAGCACCAAGGTGACGGCCCACCGTAAGCACCATGGCAAGCAAGACGTGATCAGTGCTGCTGGCTTCTGCCAGTTCAGTTCCAGTGTCGACTGCGAAGTTCCCGACTGCAAGTACAAGCTCAAGTGCTCTCACTTCCACTGCACCTTCCCTGAGTGTAAGCACACCGTGGTGGGCATGTCTCAGATGGACTCCCACAAGAGGAAGCACGAGAAGCAGGAGCGTGGTGAACTGCCATCTGTGTCACCCCAACAGGAAGCGGTGCACCACCTGGGAGGAGGTGTGTCTGTAGTCCCTCCAGTCTCTATGGGCCTCACCACGTCTTCACCTGGAGCCCTCCATGCGTTGTCCCACCCCATCAACAGCAGCGCTCGCTCCATGCTCTACCCAACAAGCAGCATTGGGTCTGAGTACAACCACTCGTACCCACCTTCCTCCATTAGCCTGGACAGCTCCCTTAACCTGGGCACCGACACCAGCAGTTCCCTGTTCTTCCTGAAGAATGCAGCCGGTCTGGGTCTCAGCGATTCTCTGGACCTCAGCAAGAAGATGCACCCAGACACAGGCCGAACAGGCCTCAAGCCCTCAACCCCGCTTGGTCTGCCGGCAGCTCAGGACGACACTACAGGAACGTCTGGAGAGGCTGAGGATGACCTGTCACCTGAGGAGGAGGCACATGCAGAGGAGGATGATGATGAAGAAGAGGAGGAAGAGGAGGAGGCAGAGGAGGATATCAACACTGACTCAAATGATGATTCGACAGCAGAGGCCGATGGTGAAAAGAACAATGGCGAAAGTTTCAATGCTTCCGTTAACCACACTGATTCTTCCCAACTGGAAAAGCATGACGCTGACCCGTGAAAAAAAAAAAAAAAAACTGAGAGACTGTAGAAACTGAAGAGGAAGCCTGTGTACTATGAACAAACAACAATGAAAGTGGCCTCATTTATCATGTTTAGAGACTACACATGACAACAACAAAAAAAAAAAACAACAACAGTGTGGAGAAAATGACGGCCCAAAATGATTTATTATGATGTTTACAAGATGACCAACATTATTAATTCAATTATGCATTAAAAAAATATGAACGGAGACACACAGAATTAGGCCCTGTGCAACATACAGGGCAGCAATGTAAAGCATTTTACTACACATCAGTCTTTTTGTGTGCGTGCATGTTTGACTTTAATTTATTTTTATTTTTTTCACTTTTTTGTGTGTGGATTAAAAAGACAGAAAAACAAAAACAAATCTCTCTATATAACTATATATGTAAGTGTGCGTGTGTGTGCGTGAGTGTGAATGTGAACAATGATAAGCAAAAGGAAAATGCTGGCACAGGCGACCTGAACTGCGAGAAGAAAAAAGGGACGTGAATCACTAAAGGGGAAAAAGGATGTGATGAAACATTTGATCTTTTTTTTCTGTACTAAGATTATTATTGTTATTATTATTATTATCATTATTATTATTATTATTATTATTATTGTTGTTGTTGGACACTGAGAGAGAAAGGGAGTTCGGTTTTGCTTGTTCCCGCCTCTCTCAGATGTCTTCTCTTCGTTCTCAATAACTGACCAGGAAATGTTCGGTCGGTTTTAGCTGCAGTCTCAACAGTTCTCTGACATTCTGCTAGAAACGCTTGACTAGCACCAAAACCAAGCTCAGCCCCTGTAATTAAACCCCGCCCCCTGCGGAGGAATCAAGTTTTTGTGTGGATAGTGCACTTTTCTATTAGCTGACCATGGTGATTATAGATAACTCATAAGCATATTTAAAAAAATATTTTTGTTACCATTTGTATCTTTGCTTTACAATGTTGTTTTGTTGTGTTGTTAGTCAGACGCATATCGATCTGTAAGCCGCTGAGGTCTTGATGAATGACCTACAACTCTTGGGGTTGGGGGTGGGTGGGGGTGGGGGTGGGTGTGGGGTCTGACTGACCAGAGGAAACGATGTCACTCAGATGCAGAGATGGGGCGACAGAAGAAGTGTGTTTTAAGTTAAAAAATGACAAACCAGTTTTCCATTCACTATGGCTGTGGTTGACATCTTGTTGTACTGGTTTTTATTTAATATTTATGTGACCTTCCAATGAGAAATTTTTAGGGTGTTATTGCACTTTTTAGGTTCATTTTTACCGTCTGAAAAACTATGATATATATCTTTTAACAGGGAATTTGCTTTAAAGATGTTGTTTTAGTTCACTTTTGCTTTAATGCACAAATAGATCTTAGTGTGACGAAGAACTGTTGTTCTGTGATTTATTTAAAGACTGGTTTTTACTTTGCTTCTGTGATTGGACAGTTTGAAGAAAAAAAAAGGAAAATGAGTGCACCAGACAAAAAGGGTGCTTAAACACTAATACGAACTGTGATTTTAAATTAATTCTTGAGAAGCTCGTGGTAAAGCTCACCCACTGTAGAAGAAAATAAATCTGTCAAAGCCACCCACTGGTTTATACTGAGCAAATATGTACGACCGACAAGTTGACACACTGATCACGAGTTATCTCCTGAGCTTGGCATTGGAAATAAATGATCATATTATAGGGAATAATAATGTGTGTAGATGATATTCCTCCTGATATTGTTTTGAGAAGAAAAAAAAAGGTTGTACAGTATTTTCCTCTGTAAAAAATAACTATATATGAACAAAATGCTCTTTGATGAACAGCTTCCTTTAAAAAGAAAAACCGTTAAAAGGAGAAATGAATAAAAAGTTAAAAATTCAAATAGCCTCATCATAGTTTGCTTGTGTGTGACCTGTTTTTTAATTATTGCAGATTTTTGGAAAAGTTGCTCATACTGTAGCTTTGGCAGACTCTGTCAAAAACTATGTCACAAGCTCCAACTAAAATACACTGATTTGACTTCATTCATTGTTTTTTTTTTCTGATTCATTTAACGACTTGTTTGATTCAGTGTCATTTTTTCATGTGTGATTTTGTTTTATTTTGCTCTCATTAATTGATTTCTTGGTTTTTATTTACTCTGCTGTGGGCATGCCTCGTTCACAGACTGAACTGTCTCCCTGGACTCTGCTGCGATGCGGAGGTGTAACCACACTTGTTTTGTGTTCTCATATTTGCTGAGATAACTGTCAGGGCTCGGAGACATGGTGCACTTGAATTCAGTTTGTGTGTAAGTGTGTGTGTATGTGTGTGTGTGTGTGACTGAGAGAGAGACTATACAAAGCAAGTTTGTAAAAAGTTGCAAATAAAGAAACTATAAATATAACAACCCAGTGCTTGATAGTGCTTCAGCCTTTGGTCACATGTGAGGGGGGAAAGGTGCTGCTGGAGACAGGAAGGTCAAAGGTCACAGCAGAGACCTCTGTCTCTTTTTGTATCTGTCAGTGATACTACTGAAGTGTGTGTAAGTGAGTGTGTGTGTGTGTTTGTGTGTGTGTCTCCCCCTGAGAGAGACAGATAGGCCACGGCTGTAAAGACACAGACCCGTGGCTCCGTCCCAGCTGCTCACAGCTCCAATTCATATTTCATGACCTTGTGCGTCTTGCCCTTGCTTTGTTCACTGTAAACTCAACTTAGAAACTCTATTGTTAGAAAACAAACAAACAAACAAAAAAAAAATCTGCATTTATGCAGGTAGTGGAATCAACAATATTTGTTGCAGGGGTTTGCTGTGTTCAAGCTTGACATCCTGGTGTGAGAACAAGCTCGGAGCTTAGGACCATTAGTGAGATTTAGAGGCCTGCTACTGCTAACAAGACTGCTCTCTGTGTCTTGTTCAGTGTTAACAGGACACTTTTTTTAGTTCCTATTCTTTCTTTTTTTTTTTTTGGCTTGAGCCATGTGCAGGGTTCTCCTCCCACTCCCTCATGTCACCCAGTGGCCAGTGTGCTGGTTCTGTCTGTCCCCTCGTCTACAGCTGTTCCTGTCCTTCCTCCTTCTCTTCCTTGTGATGTTTTTTTAATAAAAAAAAAAAGAAGGAAAAAAAAAAAAAACACGGGTAAAGGCATCACCATCTGTCAGCCAGCTGGCATCCTGTATATAATCTACCAGAAAAAAAAGAATAAACATGAAAATTATATTACACAAAAACCAGACGGAAACGACCTCCAAATCCCGCATAAGCTGCTGCTGAAATGACAGATCATTTTACTGTTTTAATTAACAGAGTAAAAAGATGGTTTAAAAAAGTGGTTGAGAGCTAAACTGAGACGTATTTCCACTGCGGGAAAAATGTAATATGAAAGCCTCCCTGCTTACTGCAGCGTAGTGAATAAACAGAGCAACATTTTAGACTTTGTAAAATATATTGCACTTTTGGACTAAAAGCCATCTACTGTTAATGTCCAATTTGGCGAGATTCATGAGACATTTTGTATGAAAAGTAGACTCAGAAGCAGTTTTTTAAAAGTCTACTTGAATTTGTTGCCCTCGGCACTACTATTCATTCTTGTGCTATTGCTTATTTCCACTTGGATACAGTGCTGTTCATCTTCATTGTGCTATATTTATGTTGTTCTTATGTTTCTGCATGTCTGATGCAAAGATTGAGCTTTTCACTCAGTGAAATAAAAACGTACTGAATGACTTTAGGCCTGTTTTCAGTGTCGGTGTCTTTTTGAATGTCAAAGAAGGGTGAGACGCCTTTGAACTGATACAGACTTTCTGTCTTTGCACAAAACACCTTTTAGTTGTCGATTACCTACTAGTTGTAAATATATAAATATATATATATGCATGCATGCAGCCATCCCTGACATGCGATCACTTGATGTGCCAGGAACAGGTTGAGTGAGAGTGCAGAGAGACAACAGTCGGAGCAGGGAACACACACGACAGGTGTGCTCTGCATATGTGGTCACATGATGCCTATAAGGCAGATTAGGGCCCAAACAGATGAAGCGCTGCTTAATGGCAGCTTTTATTAAGTTCACAAAGCGTGGAGGGGGGATGAACAGAGGAAAAGCAGGTGGCTGGGCCTGTGCTCTCCTAGATGAAGACAGATATTGTACAGTGGAGTCTGAAGAGCGGCAGCCACTGTGGAAGGATTTATGAAGATTTGCTCGCTGTGGACTTACTGCCTGCCTGTTCCTGAAGCCAGGCAGGGAGAGCTGAGGCTCAGAGAGAAAAATGTACTAGAGTACGGTAATATAAGAAGAGATTAGACCATACTAATACCTGTGTATGCACTGTGTTAAAGCAAGAACAAGGATTCAAGAGAAAGAGCACAGAGAAAAGAATATATATATATGAAACATTGGAAATAAAACCAATTAAACCACAAAGACGACTGCAGAGAATTATGACACCAGTATGAGTGAACATGAGTTGTTACTGCAGTAATAAAGGTTTATACTGAAGAGGAGGAAGTCTCAACATGGCACCAACAAAAAGCAAATGTAACTTAACCACATACTCAAGGTATTTGTGAATACAGGAGTTGTATCTGCAGAAATACAAACAATAATGTTCCTATCAGGAGACACACACAGACTGATGGACTGTTTCTGAACTGTGTGTAATTTACAGCCCCATGGCTGCCAACATGACATTAGCGCCTGAGACCGAGACACTTTGGTGAGATGTGATGTCTACGACACGGTTCAGTTTAGTGCGCATCACTTTGCAGAAAGAACTGCCTCCAGGCGCACACCTGTCAAACAAACAGACAGACAGTTCATCACTTTGTTAATCCGCCTGCCCCCCTAGTCTCTCTGATGCTTTCAGACTCACAGGATTTTAGTATTTTAGGGGCATGAATTACATCGATAGTTTGCCATACTGTGACTGTATAGTGTTTCCATGAAAATCAACATGGAGAACAGCAAGCAGCTTTAATAATCCTTTTAGAATATCAACAACTGATCACATGACTATCATGTTTGTT